CCGGAGAGATTTAACGGAAGAGAAAAAATAACATGCTACAAATGCAATGGTAAAGGACACTATGCTAACGATTGCAATTTTTCAAAAAACGAATAGCACCCGAGCTAAGAGAAAAATCGGAATATCTAACTCGGGGAACAAAATATAATACTAATACCAAAACCGACACCTCAAAATTTAACAAAGAGAAGCAGATTGAGAAAATTAATTATATACATTTTGTAGAAAATTGGTACAAATCAACAAATTCAAATAAATTAATAACTAATGAAATAAACGACGATGACGAAAAATCTATAGAAAACATCGTAACAATAAGTAATTTGAACCCATTAAATGAATTCCAAAAATTCCTACTCAGCAACAACGATAGAACCGACTTCCTATGCGATTACAGTGAACAGACGGTAAATATTTTTTCATTACCAAATGATATCGCAATCGGCCATTGCACAAGCCAATGCCTCACCATGTCGAAGGGGATCGCATTACAATTTAGAAATAAATTTAACAACGTTCAAAATTTAATAGACCAAGAAAAAAAACCGACCGAAATTGCTTATTTGAAAAACGGAAGACAATGGATTCTATACCTCATAACAAAAAATAAATATTACGACAAACCAGCATACACTAACATTTTTAGCACATTAACTAATACTAGGCAATTTTGTATAGCAAATAATATTACTACCTTAGCACTACCCAAAATTTGCACTGGACAAGACAAAAAGGATTGGAACGTTATTTCTACCATGATTAAGTTTATTTTTCAAAACACGCAAATAAAAATACTAATATGCCTACTGCCGAGCAACGACAATGAAAATAAATATTATAAAATATAAAAACGTTGGGCGCCACTCTGTGGTATCACCCGTATTGGATAATACGCGGTAAACCAACTTTATACCTTACCCTCGTACGCTCTAGGCTAATGACTGTCTCTAGAATATATTCAGATTAGCACTGTTAACCTTTGAGGTACGATGGTAGCGTTTTGTCAGTTCTTCGTTCGTTTCCTAAATTGGAATGACTATTAGGACGCCACAACCAGAGCACTGTTCAGTTTGTAATAAACCTCATTGACTATAGGTGTGTGGGTCTGAGCACTGTTCCAATATTAAAGGTAAGAACGAAGAAGACTTTGAAATAAAACTCAACTCGGGTTTTTAGGTCGGAAACACTTTTATTATATTAAAACAAACATAAATGAAACACTTAGCAAATTCAAATCGTCTAGCCCGTACTATGATCGACGTTTCACACGTACGACCACAGTACCTACGTCCTCGCCGATTCACTCAGCGACAACGGGACTCCCCGTGCCTGCGCGTGCGGCGGTGTTATATAGTAATCTTATCGCTGTCTCAGCACATATGCTTCACTGACCTATGTCAATGTTTTACAATAAAAAGTTCCCACCTCTATTATATATATGAAATAATATTTTGACGACTGTCTACAATATACGACACTTTGAAACAATATACTAGGAGCCTTCTATTAAATTTTCAAGTTTTTTTAACCAACAAATAAAATTTTATTGATATTTCTAGAAATTAAACTAAAAAAAATGAAAAATGAAAATGTCCCTAAACTGTTCAAAATAAATCAAAATATTTTGAAAATGTTATCGTGTATAGAAAATGCAAATATAAACAACCAGTGAAAATTTCATGTATCTACGGTCATTTGTTTTAAAGTTACACCAAAAACCACATTCAATTTTGTGAAAAATCGATTTTGCGTAAAAATTCCCGTTTTTCCTTAATTTTTCTTTTGTTTTTCTTGGCGCTTTTGAAAAGTACTGGGAATTTTAAGTTTCGACCTCCCCAATGCACCAACGATATTCACTTTCCAATCGAACAAATACTGAAGTCGAAAATCGAAGCATTATTTCGACTACTTATCGTGTACACAGACACAAAAAAAATAAAAATAAAAAATAAAAAAAAAAACACACATCATTATAAAATCAATACATTCATCGTTTCACTCAGACTCTAATATTATAAAACTGTTGATTGTTTTTGAATTTTGTCACCTGAAACATTTTTAAAATATTTTTTATGTATTGATTTTTTTTCAAACATGTTAACTGGCAGAATTTGATACAAAAAGTTATTTCAATTTTTATATAGGTAATCGTAATAACATTAGAATCTAGGTATATTATACAATTTTAATAGTTTATTGTAATCGAAATCGCATCTACGAGGATGGTATAGTAAAAAATTACCTAATTTTTATTTTTATTTTAATTAACTATTTGGATTTATAGTCTAAATTATAAAATATATAGTTTTAGAAAAATTGTTTTAGTATACAAATCTATAGCCTAGAAAACACCTGATAGTTACATGCTAAATATTGGCGTAGAAAAAAATTTGAAAATAAGTTTTTGTGATGTGTTTGGAAACACGTGTCTACAGATCCCCCACCTATTTTTTGATACTACGCCTAATTAAAACGCATGTAAATTCAAAATATTAGCATTCAAATACATGCTAATTGCATACAATCTATTTGCAAAAAAAAAAAAAAAAAAAAAAAAAAAAAAATTGGAAAATTCGAATGTGGGGGCACTAGAGACACTAGATTCGGACACTAGATACTAGATTTGGATTCCTTAAGAAATAGGTATGTCATCATCAACTCCAAATAATTTTGACACTATTTTACAAGGTAATTATACAATTTAATATTATAAACAGTCTGTGCCCTCCTAAGTCGGATTAGTTGAGACAATGTGTTTATTATTCTTTCAAAACATATCTTCAGTTATTTTGTTTTTGTTTTGAAGGATGTACAGCAAATATTAATTAGTTTCCAAAAAAAAAAGGGGGAAATATATTATAATAAATAAAAATAATAAGAGGATTATAAGATTGGATAAGCATTAAATTATATATTATAAAAGTACAATAGCATAATATTTCTACAATGTTAAAATACAACTTTGAATTTCTAAGGTATCACCTTTATTCATTAATAATATAAATAGCAAAAGGTTTAAAACATTTTTAATTAGTAATAAAATAAAATACATAAATACATCTGATGATGGATGTTATTTGTTTAGTATTTATATGTAACATAAAAGTAAAAGTAAACTAATATATTAGATATTTAAAAAATTTTTGGTCATTTAGGTAAGAAAAAAATATTAAAAAATATTGATTATATTTTATTTGTGTAAAATAAATAATAATATTAAAAGCTTATAATTTTTGTAAGTGATATGCGTATTTGTATTTAGATTGTGATATTGTATTGGATGGTGATGAGTTGACGGGACAACATACCGAAGTCGAAGCTACATTAATAGCTTCCGTGGAAATTTCCAAATCAAGAAAAAGGTTTGAAATAATTTGTTATCAAGCAAAACAAAATTGTATTAACTTTTTAAAAATTGTTTTTCGATTTTAGAGTTGAATAGTAGAGAACCACCTAGCAGCAGACATATTAGGTATAATTGTACTACCTATACCATAATATTATTATTTAAAATTGTATGATTGAATTATACTGATTCGTTTAATCAAAACTTCGAACGACAATTTTAGGCATGTAGTGACGTACGAGCACTACGAACTGTACTGGGGTCTTGTTTATTAACTATCCTGTCACTATACTTACCTTTTCTTCTTTCTTTGAATCTTTGTTTGCTGTAATATTTCTTTTTTTAATACTAGCGGGGAGGTGCACTATATTGTTACAGTCTGAATTAATTTTCCTTAGACAATTTGAAGAAATAGGAAAAAAACTTGTGCCATATGTTTGGCAGTATTTTTAAATTTCAATCCAGCACGTTAAGATATTGAACTAATAAAAAATTATTTTAACTGCTAATGCAAAATAAAAAAATGGGATTGGTTATTTTAGAGTTATCCTAAAATCGATTGTCCCGTTTTCTTTTTTTATAAAAATGAATACCTAGGGTCACATTATGTTAAATCCTCATTCTGCTTATAAGTTGAACTACTTAGGTAAGAGTGAATCGGCGAGGATGGGATAAGGTTGAATTTATCCAATTCGTTTAAAATGGTAAGGTTCATTTCCCTGTCACCCCCACTTTTGAATTTTGCAACCGAACCTTATAATAGAACTTATAAAGATTAACATTAATATTTATTAATTATTATCAATTTTTGTTATCAAGCTATTTATAAAAACTTTTGTAGATTATAGTTAATTAGTTTATTACTACCGGTATTTTCTTTTAACTAAAATTAAGGCTTAAGCTAAATAAAATAATGTCTATCATATCTCTAGGTATTTGAGAATTATTTGTTGTTGCTTGGTGCTGCGCACTGGCTGAAATCAATCAAGCAACGTGATTGGCAATAAGCAACTGCCGCTGCTACTAGTTCCTCGATTAGTGACCACAGTGGTCCATAGTGACAAAAACCTTGCCACACATAAACGTGTTACAAACCAACCGTTCCAACCCTACCAACCATAATACCTACAATAGCTAATGGCCATAGTTACCGGGCTCTAGACAAATAAAGAAAAAATATTTTTTTATTATACTACTCGCAGAAGTATACCTAATTAATATGATTACACAATTTTTGTTTATAAAACCAATTATAGAAATTCATAATATTGGTGGTATATTTATCAATGTGTTTTACTGTAAGAACTTTTTCAAACAATGTGTATGGTATAAGATAATATAGGATAATAATTTGAAAACATAATAATTTAAACATAAAAAGGAATATTATATTATTGTGTTAACACTGATAATTATTTTAATATGACATCAATTAAAACTTGAATCTAACATAGATATAAACCATTTCTTTTTTGATGATTAAAATTTAATATAATTTAGTTAAACATTATAATGATAATAATGATTAATGGTAATAATTATATAATTTTAATAATAATAATATTATTAATTAGGTAATAGTAATAATGATAATTAAAAAAAAAAAAAAAAAAAAATTCAACAAAAATCATATTATTATGTTTATTAATTTTACTTAATAGCATACTCTATATGGAACTGGTCTGGAACCACGGCCGGAGCTCATAGTTCCATTATCTTCTTCATCGGTATCATTATGGGGATATGTTCCATGATGCTGTATAGGCATCATGAATGTGGTCTCATGTAAATTTGTGCTTCTACATTCTCTGGAACTTTGATTTGATCCGCGTCTAGAACTAATAAAATATCAATATTTAGTAACAAACAAAATAGATGCATAGTTTATACACCTAATTCAACATCGTAATTATTTTATTTTTATTATTTTTTGGTTTGAAACAAATGTTATAATATTATTTTATATTATAGTTATTGTATAATTATTATAGTTGTATTATAGATATACTGCAAACCTTTTTAATACTTAATTTTTCAAAATCAAGGCTTACTCTGGTAAAGGTAACAATCGCCGCTTAGGTTTCTTCATTGGCTCACATGTTTTTGAGTTTCTCTCAATATCATCTATATTTGAAAAAAAAATGCATATTTAGTTGAAGGAAATGTATTCAAAATTAAATCATTGATTTCAAAATGAGACTTAAATAGTTTATGTATCCTAAATATACCTATATTTCTATTCATCTTATTAAATAATAGGTACCTTAAATTTTCAATTAAATTATCATTTTAACATTTTAGAGTAAATAGTAAAATGAAAATAACTAAATTTAAAAATAGCACAAGGATAAAATGAGAGAGGAGTAATCGAGTTAAAAATAATAAACATTGAATCAAATATTGCACTGAGCGATAAGCAACATTTAAGAAGTACCCTGTATGAAAGCTTGGAAACAAAGGAAGGATGATATTAATTGCTTTAGTAAGTAGTTAAGATTCAAGAAAAAGCTACAAATATATTTACATGCCATTTGGTGTTTAAACGGAAAATATCATTAAGCTCTCACAAGTTATGTGAATATGAAAAAGATGGAAACAGTATTTCAATGATCAATTGAAAAATGAGGAAGTAGAATGGAGAGGAAAGACGAAGAAGAGATGGATATGCAGAGTAGAGAATTACACAAACATAGTTGAGGTGAGCAAATAATAGGTAGTGGACAGAGACCTTTAAACGTGTAGGAAAACAGTAGCTAAGCTCATGTATTTGAGAACAAAGGGCGAAGGGCAAAGAAAAATATGAAAACGAACAAATGAAATGAAATGGAGTTAATACATTTATGGGTAAATATCATTTGTATTTAAAATAAGTTGTCACTACATTTGTTCTTTTTGTATACCCATTGTTTAATTTCAGAAAAGTATAGAGTAGAGTGTTTTATGTAAAAATGTATTGTTGATAGCACAATTTCAATGTGTAGAATTGTTAAATTATGTTTACCTATATTGATACACTTACAAAACTCATGAATAGAACTACTTTGACTTTTAGAATCTTCATTGTTGTTTTCTGAATAAGATGGTACTCGTTTAGGTATTGGACGTCTTAAAAAGTTTGTGTAGTCCGCCTGAGAACAAAACTAAAAACATTGTATTAATCATTATAAAAATAAAATAATGGAATAATATAATGTATAAAAAATAACTTGATAGATATAATAGGTATTACCATTCTATTGCAGTTGCATATTTCCAAATTTTCTCCGCAGTTAGTGCAAAAGTATTGTTTGTTTCGTTTTGGTGATTTGGAAGGAGAAATTTGAAATGTTGCATACGGTGATATTTCATTGTAGTCTAAAAAAATATACACATCATACGCTTGTAAATAATTTGTATTAATTACTGTTCATAATAAAAATTATGTATTAAACATTTAAAAAGTAAAATGTCTAATGGGATTATAACATTTTAACGTTGTTACACTTTAAATCATGTTATCAAGTTTAAAACGTTAAGTTGTAACAGTTACCTATTTAAATAAAATTAATATATTATTATTCTATAAGTATTCTTTATCAGTTATGTTATCAGAATACTTAATTTCAATACAAGTAAACATAGTGTTATAATAGTTTTACTTGAATCGTCATTGGTCAGTATTGTACTCTTTGATTTGAATGGTGTGCATGTTTCATATGCATCCGAATGTATTTCAGATTTTGAACAGCTATTATTTTTTAGTATCATATTATTTGCCTCCAGATGACGTTGATTCTTTTTATACATATGCCCTAAGAAATCAAACATTTAGAATTAAAATAAACTTATTTATAAATTATATTATTTGAGGCTCTTAAATAATATATTGTGTAAGATAAAGTTTTTTGTCACGTACATTTGAAAATAAATATGCCAGAATATTTTTAAATTAAGTAGAACAATATTAATATGTTGAATCTTAAGAAGGTGTAAAAGTGGTTTTGTTCAAAACACGTGTTTATTGTGATGTCTACTTTTAGTAGATTATTTAAACGTTTGAGATTAAAGTATCGAAACTTATAGTGAAAATTATTGAGTACCAACACATAATATCCAATATTTGTTGTAATATTTTTGAACTTTTCAAAAAAGGAAACATTTTTTAAAATATAATATATAATAAAACTGACAAGGCATGAACAAAAATGTTCTTAATAACTTTCATGTTTAGGATACTTTAGATTCAACCGTGTAAACACACGTATACAAATGTGGTATATAATAGTATACCTATACCTATGTATATACCATGAGATATTGTGTGACTGTTCACTTATAATAGGTACTCTGTACATCAATATTCTTATTCTGGGATATGAATACATATTGCCTTAAACCCAACACATTTTTAAATGTCTTAATAATATTAAATATGATTTTGTATTTTTATGCACTTACTGTATTTATAACATACTATCAATGATAGACTGATGACAATGAGAAATAGTAAGGCTACAGCGAGTGGCCACATTACAGCTATATTGTAAATAGTCAGCATTATCTTGTCATTCACCGATAGAGCTTCTTTGTCGTAATTTCCTGAAAAAAATTATTAATATAACTTACTAATAGTGTTTTTTTTTAATTATTAAATTTAAAACATAGATCACATATGACACGTTGAATTGATACACTTGGTATTTATTGTTTATAATACAATTATCATATATACGAACCTCCATAATTAGTTAAGGTCGAAGCAGTGTACATTGTTGATGTCATACCAGCAGAATTATAGCATTTTACCAAAATATTATAGTTAGTCGACGGATTTAACGTTTCAATCGAGTAAATTCCATTTGGTGTAATGTTTTCGTTAACTAAAATAAGAAATATTTCCCTTACGTGGATTAATGTGGAAGTTAACACTTAATTCAATAATATTATGTTTATGATAATCGTTACCCGTTGTCCATTCTTTTTCAGTAGTTAGTCTTTTGTAGACTGAAAAATGTGTGATTGGACAATACTTGGAGTTCCATTTTTGCAGATGAATCAAAAATCCCGATACCATCTGTTCGATAGCCTTAAACATACAACAACAGTTTAAAATTGCGATTACCTTATATCCAAGTTATTTTGTCGTTATGGTTTTTAAATTAGGTAAATAAATCAAATGTCTGCAAGTACTTCGTTTTGTGTGGGTGCAATTGGTGTTTTCCCTTGTAATGTTTTTACGTTAAATGGTCTGCTTTGCATTCCGTGACCAACTCGGTTACTTGCTGAAATGCTGAATGCTATCGTTGTACCGCACTTGATGTTTGGTAACGTGAATACATTTGAATGTGAAGGTAAAGAAATTTCAGTGTACATGTTTTCCGGTTCCTAAAATGTAGTGAATTAAAATAATATGATCTTTAGTTGAATTTTTCTTATAGTACAGAGATTATATTATGATCAGCTTACATTAACGTATTTGTACGAAAGTAAATACTGCTGAACCGCGTATGTGTTCGGCGCTTTCGTCCAATTCACGGTGACATTTGTCCAAGACACGTTGACTATCCCAAGAATTGGCGGTTTCGGTGGCTCTGTAATCACAACACAAATTCCATAATTATGTAAGTCATAATTGCATAATATAATGATATTGCATTTTTGTACTAAATAATCGAGTTAATTGAGACGAATACCTATTCTATATAGGCTATTGTATATATTGTGTGTTCGGGGATCTACAAACGTATTGTTATATATAATAACACTATTATTATACTTGCCGACTACTAGCAGCGAAGTGGTAACATTTTCGGACCCATAAACATTCCATGCCGTACACGTGTAATTGCCGGAATCTGTGCTGGTCACTGAATCCAAGTGCAACGTGAAGTTATCATATACCAATCGTTGAGACTGCAATAAGTCGATTGGTTGACTGTTGAAGGTCCATTTTACGTTCGGAGTCGGAATACCGGATGTAATACAAGGCAGATCGATGTTGGCGTGCCATTTGGTCTGTATCTTACCGTGGAAATTTCCAATGGCTGCGGGCATTCCTAAAAGTCATACATTCAATTTTAAGTATTGTTGAATAGGTACCCCATATTTACATATTATAACGGTACAAAATGAAAAGTGAAAAACATAGTATTTTCATTAAAATCTTAATACAATTCCTCTCATTCGTGTTGATAATTGTACGCATCTATCTTCCAGATAATATAATTTTATATAACTTTTACAATATTGTGTTTACGTTTTATTATTACTAAATGTTTTATATTGTAACACCATTTACCGGAATTTATAGTATTTTTATTTTTAATACCTCAACAATTACTATAGTTTATGCCAAAATATCAATGAACATGAAAAACACAAAATGTGTTTCATATAGGAATTACTCTGATAGTGTAATGTTGTGTAATGAGAAAATATTTACCACCAGTCACCGGGTAAATATAAAAGTGCAAATAATAAAATAAAAACAATGTTTACTTTTAGCTAGTTATTAAACTTTAGGTTTTTATGAATTAATTTATTAAGCTAATAGCTAACTGCTTGCGGTATTTTTCAAGTAAAAGTAAATGCTCCCAATCATCTTACAGATTTAATTTAAAAATAATCATAATTATTCTCAAAATTAAATTAACTAATAAATCTACACCATACTTTGTTCAATAAATTGTACAATAAATATGTTATTGAAAAATCTGTCCAAAAACTTAAATCTAAAAACATGAGTGTATACAGTATACACTCTAAATAAATGTTATTTGTCTATATTATACAGATTATTATATTATATATCTTGTTTTGTTCTCAAATTTAGGTATACGATAAGTTTTACAGTATTTTTATTTATTTTCCACTTGGGGTTAGGTTATGAGATATAATAGCTTACGTCATCTGGATTTAAGGCTTTACTACGTAGTACCAACCAATTATTTTATTTAGTTACTGCTAATAAAATTGTTTCCCCCCCCCCTACGACTTTGGTGAAGGGAGTATTGAGACGAAATCGCGTGGTTTTATATGAGCCTTTGAGAGTACTTATCTACCGTTGTACCCCAAATTGCCAAACACGCTTGTTAAAACACTCGGAATTCACATTACACACGCATTTCACAATATTAATAGTTATCGCTGATGTGGCTATAATTAATATTAATATATTATAATATAACATATTTACCGCCAGATTTAACTGTTGACAGGGACGCCGTCCGTGACTTGTCACTCTCACCCACGCCATTGGTTGCGGTTATCCACCACAAATAGCTGCTAGAGTGTCTGAACATGGACAATTGAATCTGTCGGATGTGTGGTTCAAATGACTGTGACTTTACAGCACCTTGCATTCCGTTTATTTTCTAAACATGGTCAATTATCACACGTAAACCAATTGCAGGCATAAGTACCACAAGTTATTTTAGCGGAAACAATATATTATTATTATTCATTCATCATGCTCTCAATATTATATTGCAAGTATAAGTTCAATTTGCTGATAGATCCTTTCACTTTACAAATCTACTAAATTTATACGTCTTATCTGCTTTATATTATAGACCACAAGGCATTTCAGTATAAATAGGAGCTCAAAAATCAATAAACAATACGAATAGTGAAACAGTACATTTTACATCACAAGTAGATGTATATTATACATAGATATGTAGATAAATACCGCATTAATTTATGCAATACTGAATGGTACAATGTTATAGAAGATAATTTAAGGGAAATAAATCACTTTGAAATGTTGAACTCTGGCCAAAATACAATAGTCTAATAAACGGGAAACGAGAAGTTATACTTAATAGGCTCAGAATTAGTCATACGAAAATCTCATATGGAAAAGACCAAAATATATGTTAACCATGTCCAACATGTAATATACGTACTACAATAAAATTCAAGTTAAATGCAATATTGTCACCCACTGTTCAAATGTTAACCTGGCCAGAAATTAGTTTCTACATAACAGATAGCATACTATATCCATTTCTAAACTATTTTCTAATGATAAAACAATAACCTATTAAGTGAAGGATGTTGTAATGTGTGACGCTGAACCTGATCGATGATAACAATGTATACCTAGTTGATGTTTAAAAAATATACTACCTATGTAATCATATCGAACATTTTTCTAACACATATTGATTTTTCAGTATAACTTTCTTTATCAACAATAGTTTGAATATTTATATTTAAAAAAATATGTCAATACTACCAAGCACCGATTTTTCTATAGATATTAAAAAAAAAAAAAATAATATATTTTTCTATTCATATTTTAAAAGTGTTGTAAATTAAAAAAAATGCAATGGTATATAAAAGTATTAGAGCAGATTGTTTAAAATCGAATAAATATTACACGTTATAGTACACATAGTATACTTTTAAGAAATGTAATCCACTAAATGGTGTCGTACCTGATTATTTATAAGGGGGAAAAATGTAATCCATTTACAGTTTTACGGTACGACGTTAATACATCAAATCGTCCACTGAGAATAAAATCAAACCATTGAAATATCAATAATGACTTAACAGGAAACATGATCACGCCTCAACGAAAAGTTAGATTTTAATAATTTTTTTTATTTGAAAGAAAATACTTTATTCCGGTTGGATTTGATATAGATTTTTAATTAATTTTTTATAACACCTTTTAAAATTATTAAACAACTTTTGATATAGGTATAGTAATTTATATCAACTTCTAAAAATAGAGTTTTTAAAATCAGAATCCAACGTGACCTGAATAAAATCTTGATATTACAAATAAAAAAAAATATCAAAATAACAACTGTTTCGTGAGGCATGAGAGTATTTGTACTGAATGTGTGTCATTACGACATCATAAATTACCCAGTCTATATTATTCAATAGGTAGTAGATTTTTTTATATAGGCTTATAAAATAAAAAGGCAAAACCATATTTGTGATTTAATTAAATCATAAGTAGGGTTTAGATGTTTATGGCTATATTACATATATTTTTTAATTTAGTACCATATTATGCACATTGCAGACCAAAGTATAAATCCGTTTGTATTTTGGAATGAACAGTTGAGTATACAACACGTCAAGGTACCTACATTAAATTGTATTATGCTTTTTTTTTTATTTTGGAACTTAGATATATGTATATGTATAATGTATATGTATAGAATTTGAATTTTTTTAGTTTTTACGAGTTTTTTTTATATAATAGGACTTTTTTTTATAATTTTAAAATAACATATTTTTATTGAAATTGTTCTTAATAATTGATTATTAGTCACTATAGGTTTTTTAAGGTCGAAGACAATAAGTATCCATAATCATAACTAAACACATGTTATTACCTCTCTTTCGTAAAGAGTGAAATGTTGAATCTGGCCATTTGGATGTTTAGGTGGTATCCAAGATATAAGAGCCATGTTTGGTGATAAAAGCATAGATTTTAAACCAGCTGGTGCTTCTGGTACTGGAATCAAACAAACAAATCGAAATAATGTCAAGTTATTTATTATTTAGAAACACTATTTGTCTATAGAATATTAAAGAAATATGTAGACATTTTGAAAAAGTCTAAAAACTTTTATTTAAAAACTTTTTAATAACATATCACGTGTGGATTCGATAAAAATGGAACCAATAATACAATATGGTTTTTATATTAGAGAAAACCCCTGGTATACTTGGAGTTAGGAATGTGGAAATTTGAACATTCCAAAAAGTTTATTGTTTGATTATAGAAATGGGAGATGATAATTGTTTGAAATAAATGTCTGTTGTAAATTATTTCTAATCAATAAATTGCATGCCTAACTTTGTTTAAAAATAAAATTTCTCTGATTACGATTCATGATATCGTTTGATTATTCTGGAACTTAATAAAATATGTTATAATTTAATGTATAATACATTATAAAAATAAAATCAATTATTAAAGTGAAGAAATAAATCAAAGGACTTAATATAATTTAAATATCTTACAACTTTCTGAAGTTCTGCAAATAAGAGGTTTGCTTGATTTTCCCGGACCTTGAATCGTATTCACTTTGATGGAAAATACGTACTCAGTGTCAGTATCGAGATTGGAAATAGTTGCATCATCGCCGTTATGAAAAACTTCAATTTCATTGTATTCGTCTTAAAAAAAAAAACAAATTCAATTGTTAATGACAAAATAATACATATCTGACCATACTAGAAACAAGAATTTTTTTAAAAGTTTAATCTCTGCAATTGCAAAAGTTGATGTTGCGAATCAACAATATGGGATGAAAATATAAAATTGTTTACTCACTTGTGATTGTTTAAAAATGAATATGAAAAATAATTATCAAAACATATTTTTCTAGTACAATAACTCTAAGGTTTAATGTAATATTAAATAATATAAAATAGTATAACATATTTGGCAGTAAATTATTAAATTTATTACGAGTTATTATTTTACTATCTTCATATAAAAAGACAAAATGCCTTACTTTTTTTTTTTTTTGGTGTTCATAAGTTGTATAATAATTAGTTACAAACGTTTAGATCTGATAAACAAAATTAATGAATAACAGTATAATTATTATAATCTTCATCTGCGGTATTAAACGCAAAGTTTTAATTGAAATAATATAATTGTTTTCCACTATTAAAAAACTTTTAGTTTTTGATAAAAATATAATGGAGCCGTTGTACCAAAGACACGAATATTGTTTTAATGTAAATAAGTTATTTTTAACACTGGGAAACTTTGTCTTCTTATTAGTTTCTATCATATTCAATTATTAATCAACAGTTGTATCTCAGTTACATACACTAAGTTAAAATTATTAATTAACATGTATTTAAAAGGTATTGTTAAAAAACATTATAGAAATTTATAGAGGAGAGTATTTTATATTAGAGGACATCTTATTTTTGTAGGTTATGTGTATATATCAGAATACACTCTTAAATATTATGTATTCAGAGTAAAAAACATAAGAAATATTGTTGTAAATAATATGAATTGAGTTGGCATATATTGTACGTATATACCTACCATACTTAATAATATATTATTATATGTTGATCTTACATGGTGTAACTCGTAGGTCACAACTCATAAGACATACAACTCAAACCATAATATTTAAGTTTGAATATTTCACAAGTCCCGTGCGTGCAACACAATTTAGAATGATATACATTTATTGTTCTGTTTACAACGGTTATTATTTAGATTTTATTTTTTACACAAGAATATAAAAATAACAAACAAATATACAAATCAAAAACCTTATTAGAATATTGTTATAAGTATTGATACATTCATATTATTTGTCACAAATATAATATTAGTACTTTTATTATGAATGTTCAAAAACTATTTATGATAAATAAAAATAAGCATACTATTACAATGATGTACCTAATAATAATTTTAGTTGTGACGGAACCAAGTAATTTGGTAATATCCTTAGTAGTAAATATTAACAGTATGATTTTAACAGTAAGTTCATTCATTAAGTGCTAGTTCGTACTTATCAAACAACGATTTGAATTTATTTTTTTTTTTAGAATTCTTGAAACAAAAACAACATTTAAAACGATTTAAATTATTAGTTGCACTCTGAAATCCATAAAAGACACTTGTGTAGTTTTTTTTTCCCCGAAAGGTTTATCTTTTTCTCAAACAGAATGAGCTCCCAGACATGTTTAGGTGTGGCGTGACAAGTTCGCTTTTTTATTCGAAATAGTGTAGTGTGCTGCAAATGTACATCTTGGCACCAAAAAGCTTTAATTGAATTCCAACATACACCGTATGCAATTTTGTCGTTGGCTTTTCGCCATTTAAAACAAGAAAAGGTACCTATACAAACGGACGAAGTTTTAGGTTTACTCACCGTGTGATATGGCGTGAGCACTTTGTTAAAATAATTCTTTAAGATTTTAGAATAGCGAAGATAGACTTTAAGCGGATTCCTATTTAAACAGTTAAATTCGATACGAAGTATATAGTATATCGAATTGAAGATTACATTCACGGATGTATTCACTGTTGACCTCAAATTGAATTGATAAATCATGTCTTTATTTATATATCGTTGATTACACTAAATAATCAAAATGAGTATAATATGTTATAAAGTCTAAAACCGTTTTTAACCACCCATTTTTCACTAATACAATACAGTTATGATATAACATTATTAATGTTTTGTTATGTCATTTATAGATTATTTTACATGCAACTTGGTTTTTGTTTAAATTTAAAGCTTACAATACGTATAAATCATATGTTGTGAGATAAATTTAGAAGAAGGGTCAACAAATGTTATAAAATCAATTAAAATTAACCACATGTTGATAAGTTATTGAGAATTTCAAATTTTGGAAGTAACAGAATAAAGTTTATAAAAAAACACAAACAAAATAAAAAAAAAGTTCACAAGGGGGTATTGCACTATTGTACAGTAGCTGTTGAGTATGCCATTGTAATGAATGTGTTGGATCTGAATTCAATGGAGAATACGAAAAACAATTCTGAGTGTAGGCATCCTATCATACTTGTATAAATAATCAAATTTAATTGTTGAAAAAAAAATTAATGCCATGTAAAATACCATGTATGGAAAATGTTAATGTAAAATATATTTGGTTGAGATTCAAGTGTTTAAGGTTATTAATGTCTGAGTTATACTAAAAAATTCAAATCAGTTTTATCCCAAATATGTTTTGCATAAATATTGCCATTATTTTCCAGACGCTTACAAAAACTACTTGACATTTTCAATTATTACCTCCCGTAATGCTTCTATTAGAAAATATAATGATGCAAAATATCAGAGAATTTTTAACACCCAAAAAGTATTACATTGATCAAAGTAATAATAGAAAGAAAAAAACCCCATCAGTGTAAAAACATTACATTTACTGTTACAATTAGAATCTAAAATTCTTAATATTCACAATTTTTATAAATTATTATATTCTAGCCTAATGTGAGAAATAACGTCGCACTCTAATTTTGATAATTTTATCACTTGTTCCAGTTGTATAATTTTCAAAATTAATAATAAAACAACTATCTATGACATTTGTGTATCACACATATTGTTTTATTTTAATCATAAAAAAAAGTAACTAACATATTTTTAAATAATCACTTTAAGTATTTTAATTTTAAATTGTATGTTATTAAATTATTATATTATTAGAGTTATATATTATGTTCCTTTATCGAAGTATTCATTTTTTGAAAAATATTTACAATTAGTATTTTGACGTAAAATATTAATTTAGTGATTCAAGTTATTTCTAATTATTCGAGTAATTAATATTCTATCGGTTAGTGTTGCAATCGATGTTTACAAAGCTGTAAAATTACTAAAAGTGAATGCGTTTATTTCTATAAGTAAAAGGTATCTCACTAAACTATCATTACGCTAATTTGAATACTTTTGAATAATGTAATTAAGACATGGAAATAATTTTCTCTGCTTATTAATTATATTACCAATAACATAGGTATTATAGCTGAGCTAACTATACAGCCAATATTCTCGTACGTATGTACAAATAAAATCATAACGTCATCATTCTATACCAGCTAAATCGTAATTTATTTTTCCGTTTGAGAAAAAGGCAAAGACTATATTTAGTATAGTAGTTATACTTCAAAGAATAGTTTTAAAAAGATTCTTTTTATTTTTATTGTATTTAGTGTAAACAATTAGCATTATTGTAATTTGTTGTAAGACTTTATTCGTACAAGTTTCAAAGTATAAACTCACTTATTAAATCGTCCGCTGGTACCACCTTTGAATATGTAAGAACATATCCCTGCACATAGTCGTTCATTAAGTTATTCGAGTTCAAGTCGGTCCATCGCAATCTCACACTGTTAGGAGTGGTGACGTTGCACGATAGATCATCCGGCGGAGATCCTAAAACTATATAAAACAATTTAAAGTTAATTACAAAGTAATGTTGAGATAAATCACTAGAAATCTTGGTGTCTGACATACCTTTAATTTCTAATTCCATGGCCGCCTCGTGTTTCCCCAATGAATTTTCAGCAACGCACACGTACCTTCCCGAGTCGGCGGCACTCACTTTACTGATGATCAATTTCGACTTCACAGATGTATCAGTGTACATTTCTTCTACATTATATCTATTGACAACCAACAGTGTTTTATCAGTTGACTTATTCATTTAAAACGTGTTCATATCTCAAATATGTATAGTTTATAAAATACAGTTAATAACAATGAAGAAATAGTCCCCAATGCAATTATTATGGGTAAATGGACATTTTCAAAATTAGTATATTTTATAATATTGTAAATTATGAAAGAAACAATAAAATATTACTGTATACAAATACATAAATATCTGTATACTCCTATATGAATCTTGTTTTTAATTCATATTTCAGTTAAATGCATTACTTACATTTAATATAAAAATATAAACTGTTTAAAATAAATAAAATTACCTATATTAGTACTTAAATTTCCAGAATACTTTGAGATTATTAATTGTATGATATAATATGAATATAAAAATAATGACTAATTTATACATTTAATATTATAATTTAGGTATTATATTATAATCGGTTGGTATGATTATTTGTGAAAAACCACATACCATAAATGTATTATAACTTTTGATAACTCTTTACTGTCACTAGTTAAGCATTTCATAATATGCTTGCTCTTAATGTTGAATTATTTTATATAATATTTATTAGTTTTGAAAATAAACAGTTTTCATAAGTAAATAATAAATGTACGTTATTAAATCATCGGAAATATTTACGTTTAATGTATTATGCCGTTTAAAATGAATTTAATATTTTAATTAATTTTAAACTTGCACTGTTATGATAAATATAGAATATAAATCTCATGGTAATGAAATTTAAAAACTGTCGTGAATATTATAACATAAGAAGTGAAAAGAAATAGAAAACTATTATTGTTGTTGCAACAGTAGGTATTATAGTCCTATAAAGAAAAATTTATAAAGTTTGATATCTACAAATGAAAATATTATGATGTTACAAATTATAAAAATATATAGTATAATAGTTGTATCATCGGTTATTGATATTATTTATTATTCTATTATCAGCTGTTGCTTGCATTTAACTTAGTTATTAGCTTCAACAATCAAATACATTTTAAACGACAATATTAACACAATAAAGGATTACTTCCAATACAATTTTAATAGGAACTTTGACAGTTTTTTTTAAAAAGACGCGTATTTCAACAATTCTTAGCAGTTTATGTAGTCTATTAATAGACAAATAATTTTCATGATCAGAGCTTATGATTTCAAACAAATATTGATGTATTATTTTTAACGTGTTGTAAAATAATATAGCAAAATGTATTTATTATTATTTTTTTTTTTTTTGAATAACTGATTGTTATTTTGTTAATTCATATTTGATAACCATTCAAAGGATATGTGGACGTAGATACATTTTGGTTTAAGACATTTTAATATATTTTTATTCATTTAAAATAATTTATATTCTAAACCAAAACACGAATTATCAATAATAATATTCATTTTACAAAAGAATGAAAAAAAATGTCCAAATGACATCGTAACCAGATGATATATGTGTAAGATTTACAAGGCTAATTTTTTTTGTATATTATTTTAAACTCATAAATATTAATATTTAGTTCATTCTCAAAAATCTCTAAGTCTAGCCATACATTGGGTTTACAATGCTGTCACAAACAAAACGTGTCGCCGGAGAAAATTTCAACTACGTGACCGGATTTCGAAAAAATTATATTTTCTATTTTCTCTCGGTAGTCTCGCAACTACATAATATTGTTTCTACAAATGTATTCGTGTTCATAATACCTTAACTTTTACAAGCATTACCATTATTTCAACGAGGGCGTATTTGAAGTATAGTACCTAAATTTGGTATTTTTTTCTTAGGCAGACATGAATATATTCCTTTTTCTCTACAAATGGACCATTTTCTATCATTGACCCTTATTTTTAAAATGTTATTACGGAGCTTAAATGTCTCGTAAATAATATTAAATTAATGGTTATATATTTTTTCTTGAATCATGTTTTTTATTGTCAGTTAATATTTGAACGCAGAATAAGCCATCTAAAAGTAATGCCATTTTTTGTTAGGAAATGATTATGAAGATTTAAAATGTTCAGATTATATTGTAAAAACGTCACAAGACTACTAATGCCACTTGTTATCATTTTAGATTTGACTTTTAAGAATTAGATGTTTGAGTTTATATTTTGGTTGTACCTATTTATATTATATTTTACTTGAACAATAATTTCAAACAAATAATAAATAAGACCTAAGTTAAATTATATAGCCGAAATGGTTTGAAAGAGATAACACAATATTAGGACTATAAGACCTATAATATTACGTTAATGCCTTTTTCGTTGGGGCAGTTGAATTATAATAGGTAGGTACTTACGAAGTTTTGTAGACAATTGCACAAGAAAAATATTTTGAATGCCTTATATATTATAAGTTTTGATGTTTAGATTGAGAAACACATTATATTTGTTCAAAAAACATTTTAATGCAACAAAGTAGTTACAAGAGGTGTTAATAGTTTTTTTTGTTTTGTTGAAAAAGTAGACTTGTTAAATACAGTTTAAATATATGTTTAACTTAAGATAAGTCAGCAAAGTTCTTAATTTATTCATCACATTTTTCGTACACCAGTCATTTATTATATTTATTATTTGTATTGTTAAATTCCAAGTTGAAATATTTAGTATATTTTTTTTTTATAATCTTGTACTTCGAAAACGTGTCACGGTTCATGATTTAACTATAAATCACCGTTACGGTGAAATTTATGTTTTATATATGATAATCAATACATAATAATATTTAATAATATACTACTCGTTTCACCATAAATAGTAACAAGTTAGTTCCTCAAAACACTAAAATAAAATCCAAAACCGTATTGTCCCTTTAAGTGTTTAGAGTGCTATAATACAATATGTATAAACAATCGATAATTCAAGTCACATTTCATCGCCTCGTATTTATTAAATATATTGTTGCATTAAATGTAATTTAAATATAGAACGTGAGTATATATTATTGAATATATTTTATCATATTAATCTACAATATATAATAATATATTTTATGTATTTGAGCATTAAATTCTTCTGGTATAAACACTTCGTATTATACAATAAATATTATTTACAAATTATTTTCTTATAATATAATATAGGTATAATGAGAGAACGTTTAAATCCATGAGAACCGTTTTAATGCAACTTTTCATTACTTTTTATTCATTTGTTATACATTTTAACGTTAACATCACCATACAGTAAATTTTATCCTGAATCGTATTGTCTAGAAATATTCGTCTAATTATTTATTTATTTAAAAACACCACGATCAGACGGCGTTTTGGATAGGCATTTTAGCTACACTTAGGTTGTTGTTAATATTTTTCTATGATTGTACCCTATCAAAAAAAAAATAGTCAACGTGTAAAAGTGTTGATAGTAATATTAAAATACATTAATTTACCATTTTTATTAAGGTGTATTCTGCAAAATTAAAAGTTAACCAATATTAATAAAAAAAAAAAGCCAAAGAATGTAAATTGTAGTTCACATTCAATTTCAAAATTCCACATGCTACACATTCGTATATAATATTGCAAAGTAACAATTTCGTATTATGAAAAAAACATCAAACAAAAATCTAGATAATTTCGTTAGCATGATATACTTTACTGTATGTACCCCCCTAACTACACTTAATTAACCCTACTATGAAAACACTGAACAGTACGCTATATGTATATACTGATATTTTTCTTTGACGTACAAATACATTAAGGATAACATATTGCCAAGATAATATTATATTAATATTGATATACGAAATACAATATATTATAGGTACGACGTCGGAAGTGTATATATTGCATCTGGAAATAATATTACCGTTTACTTCATAACGATAATAATATATCTAGCAGAGGATTAGTTACCTTAGATTGGCGCTTTTGTAGTTCAGTTGGACGGATCCTTTGATCCACGATATGTGTATCGGTTGGTCTCCGGTCGCCTCGCATGCCATGGATGCCACACCGCCGTTTATCGACATGTATTTCGTATTCGGAAGTATAATGTGTGGTAAGTCTGGACGAAAAAAAAACACAAACATACAAAATATAAATAAATGAAAAAAAAGGTCGGAAACCGCATAATAAAAGAGTAAATAACTCGAACCGACAGCGGGGTCTCCCGGAGTGCACACACACACATATATATATATATATATATATACATATTACATACGTATACGAGAATCCTTAATATTCTAGTATCTTTTCGTACAAATATTTACACACCTCCGTCACGTGCACTCTCACGTACATTTATGCATGTGTGTATGCGGCGACCTTATAATAGATTTTCATAATATGTCGTATCGGTATCATTTCGCAACCACCAACCACGGTCGGTGGATCCGGATCCCTCCCGTTTGTATTTCGAACGAACGTCGAACAGAATCGACTGAAGCACTGAGATAACTTTTCCGGTTTGTATTCTCAATTTTTTTTTGCAGAAGCCCCCCCCCCCCCCGGCGATCACCCCGTGAAAACTTGCGCGTGATAGATTGGCCAATTGACAAGTCGTTCGCTCAACCGTCACCAGCACGATTCGTGTGACCGTATCGTGTTTATAATATTATATTGTGCGATGCACATAATAATATAATAATAATGTTATTTTTATAACATAGGACGTATGAGACGGCGTCGTCGTGTTTTGTTGGTTCGAGAAGGGTAAATGGTTTCACGCACCCGTACATCATGCACATTTGAATGTGCGCTGAGCGTAAACCGTATGAAGAAGATTTATCGCCGATATGATTTAGTAGGTATCTACCGATAGTCATATTGTATTTATTTATTTATTTCCTATTATGGCGTATAAAACAAACACATATTAGTATATTACACAATAAAATTTTAAATTACAACAAATCATATAAAAGATAAGTAATAGTAAAAAAAAAAATCAAATTATCTGTGTTCAGCCATGGTTCTATAACAATAATAATATAATATCTTGACATCATGGCGACGTCACGGAATTTCGACCTCCTTGTAAATTATGCTATCCCCAAAAACACATTCCAACACCATAAATTATTATTTCTTTATTCCGAATATTACGCAAATCGCACAAGCCATTACAATATCAACAGTATCATGTAACAGTACCCCCCTCCCACGATCTCCCCCAGTATAGTAGCATTTGCCGCCACAACTTCACAGCCGGCTGGCCACTAGGTATCGTCTCTGCCGTCGCGCGGGACAGGTTCAAATGTTGTCATACTTTAAACATCTGTATGGAAATTTCCCTAATGATGACACTGCGACCAACATAATATCTCATCATCAACGGGCATAGCCCGAATCGGCAGCTGACATCTCGACACTATATTTTCAAGACATTTGACCATAGCTAAAGTCTCATCCGTCACATCTCACATTCACATCCCAAAACCTCGTGGACCTCATTTGCATTGTGTCGTTCTACCGAGGTTTTCCATGTCACCTACCAATAAAATTATGGGTTGGTACGGTGGTCCCGCGGAGGGGGAAACCAGCTACAACTCATCGTCTCATTCTTCTCAGTTCAAAACTACATTTTCGTCGTCTAGCTGTAGTGTATAGTATTCCCCCATGTTCCCCACATATATAAAATGTTAAACTTTGGGTGGTATGGAGCAGTCCCTTTATCTCTGTGGTCCCCCCATATACATAAAATTGTAAGCTCCGAGTTGTGAGCACCATTATCTCTCCCTAAAGCCACGGGCCGCAAGACGCAAGATCAAGTACTGCGACCCAGTGGACCGAGTGGATTACGTACGTCTACAACGAAAATATTGTATCCAAGCAATCGCCAGCATTTTTGGCTTGCGCTCCTAAAAAATTATTATTTCCCTTTAATTCAAAATTAAGTCTTGTGACGACCAAAACATTGTTATTTCCCGTTTAAAATATTGGCCATACAGACTGTTAAATTATTCATTACCCCCTTGTATTCCACAAAAATGTTTATTCTTTATAAATCACGCATTATAATATTGTCTTAAAACATTCTCCCAAATCATATATTAAAATTGTGCACTTTCCATGTGTCTAAATTATTATTATTTCAAAGTGTATTGTCAATTGGATTATTCTTTAAAAAAAATAAACTATGATAAATTATTATTCATCTTGTGATGAAACTAAATTATTCTTATTTTAAAACTGTAATCGCCATTTTTATTATTCTTAAAAAATAATTATTTTAAAATCACATGAAAAATACACAATTATTGATTACCAAGACATTATCTCCATTAATTTTAATGAAAAGTGTCACATTATTTCAACTTATATTATTATGTTATAACTAAACTGTACAAAGCCCATAGGTTCCAACGACATTTCTCTAGGGACATCACGTGGAGCGTTCTATGGGTCAACATAGGTCATGGTTTTCCCCTTGTGTGTTGGGTAAATAGTATAAGCCCCCCAAAAGGCTGAAATCTCACAATGGTCATAACTTATAATTCCGTGGGTAAATCTATCTTGATAATAAATACAAGGTCATTGGTTGTTTCGAAAGTAATTGTGTAAACTAAGAAAAGTTTTGAATCTTTTTTACTATAACATGTATCTATACAATTATATGATATCCAATAAATATGTAATTCAAGTCAATCGTTTCTCTTGACGAGAAAAGACATTATTGGTATTTTTATCAAAAACATTTTTTTCTTTATGCAGTCGTAATACTTCTTTATAACACTGAGATATTGTATTTGGGAGTCCTACTCAAACCAAATACTTACATTTGAATTTATGTGACATTCATATCCTATAAATTATACTATTTTGTATCACCATAGGGGTAGGATAGTTTATATATTTATGAAATGTCTTTACGAGTAGAGATAACGTAGGTGGTTTTCTTATTATATGTATTAATATTTAAATTTAAATTTCATTTATAATATGTACATATTATAAATATTATGTACTTTATGCAAAACACGCATATATAATATATATATACGTCTAGCTATATTTGTCATCTATAAGATAATTATTATATTTTTTTAAGAACGTTAATGTATCAAATTGTATGAATTACTTAAAAATTTGTTTTGGTATATCTTCACAAATAAATCATAAATCATCCCCAAAATATCATGTTAGGTACTTGTTTGTTTGTTAGAAACTAAATAATATTTACTTATGCTTAATATTAATATACTATACTCAATATATTCATAAATAAATAACTGTGTACAACAACTACTGTGCATTAAACAATTACATAATAATTTATAAATTAAAATGAATTACTGTAAAATTGTGTTCTTAAAAAGTATAATTTAAACAAATTTCATAAAAATGATTAAGGGGCCGTTACAGTTACATTTGTTTTCTCTGTCTTACAAGTGCGTAACATAGCAAATTTTACTCTCAGAAAAACACGTTTATCAACCATTTAGTTAAAAATAAGAGCAAATTGACCTCTTACAAAATTTAAATTCAAGATTATTATCTAGATAATGGCATAGGCATTTATTATAATTTAATTTTAAAGCGAGTTATGTGTATTTTAAAATTTTAAACTGTTTGTACATCTTAAAATACTCATAACTCGCTTTCAAATTAAAATATAAAAAAAAACCTATGTAATTATCTAGATAATAATTTTACCTTTAAATTGTATATGAGGTCAATTCACTCTAATTTTTAAACTAACGGGAGATAAACGTGCTTTGCTAAGCGTAAAATTTGCTATGTTACGCACTTGTAAGACAGAAACACAAATGTCACTATAACGTCCCCTGAATCTACAATAATTTCAAATAATCAAATTTTCGGTAAATCAATTTTTACAGTACCTAATTAATGATTGAAATTTTTTCTTTCAATAACTTTTGTGTTAATTTTAAAGAAACTACATCCAACTTCACTAAAAGTAATGAGTATAGTTTTGTTTCTCACTAAGCTCATTGGGGACCACACTTAACGCAAGGCCCAATACACTCTCGAGACGACAGAGTATAATATAATATGTATAGTGGGTACACATTGGTTTTATTCACTAAGTGAATAATCTCTACTTTTCGAACGTATTCATTTTAACTATATATCACCATTCACTAACACATTTCACTAGATTTTATTCATTATAATATACTTTTTACTTTGTGGTAATAATAATTATATTATTAGATGGTTATTAAAAAATGCTATTAAAAATAATTATATAAGTCGAGCAATTCAAGATAAATCCATGTCATGTTGTGTGTTTTAATTTAAAAATGTTGTTTTTACTGTATGTCTGTTCTCATATGATTTCGATACAGAAATAATGATTTGATAAAACTGCACGATATATTGTATACCACATTATAATCAGCACTCACCCTGTACGTTTAGTCGAATTATAGAAATTATGGGTGTGCCGACTTCATTGTTTGCTTCACATACGTAGTAGCCTTCGTGTTTCTTCGTAACTTTACTGATAACAAGAGTGCCATCAGATGTCACGTTATCAGTTACGTCTTCACTAAACTGATCGGAATCCTTACCTAAAATTATTTAATTAATTATAATTATTTCCGTGTATAAATGAGAGCAAACTATAATTATGAGCATTTATTACTGGATCCCTTTTTCCATTTTATAGTTGGTTTAGGATGTCCTGAAGCGGAACAGTTGACTTCTGCCTGGTCATCCCGCACGACGTTAACGTCCTTGGGTTCAATAATCCATTCAGGAGGTACTATAAACAAAACTCTGTTAATTTTTGAACATAATATTTCGTTGGTATCGATCAAACTTTATGTGACTACGGTGCCAAGTGCGGTTAGCATGCAACAATATAAAAAATAAGTGATGCGAATTTAAGATTCGCCTAAACATATAGTAAAATACCTAAAACATTATTAGGTATGGGAAGAGGCTTGTAAATGTCTGTTAAAAATAGACGAGTCATTGAATTGACCTCGCCAGCTAACTCGAAGTGGACCAAAGATGCGGTTATTTCACATTAAAGTATTACTAATATACAGCAGTTCCTATAAACAGATTAAAACTCACTAAAATAATTGGTGTTTTAAATGGTAATTTATAACTTCTTATCGCTTTAATAGTAATACCTACCTACTATTATAATCATATTTCGTATGTATGTTTCAGAAAACAGAATATTTCGTTAAATTGAAGATCATATTATTATTAAAGTCAAGGACAAGCTTCAACAGAATATTACTATAGTTTATGATTCCATGTGGGCTGCACTAAATTCGACGTCTTGTCGAACATTAATTTCATAAAACATGTCTACTCGAATGTAACCAATCGTGAATAAGTGACAGCCCGTGTACTTTTTTACGTCGACCTAGTCACTATATAGAATCTAAGTACTTCAATCCGACTAAACAAAATAAACCGTAAATACGCTTAAACCATCATTCTTCAAATGACCAAACTATGGTGAATTGGAGCTGTAATAACATAATATTATTATAAGACGGACTCAACTGTGTTCTGATGTAGGATGTGAATTACGTCCGAATACTTTTTTTAACTAATTGTTATAAAAATACTGTTTATTAACTTTCCAATGAAATATTGGTAATTACGAGTAGGCAACCTATGATAGGGTCAGTAATATATTAATTGAATTTCCAATTATTTTATTTCGATATCGACGTTAATTTATTGATTTTGTAGTGACGTGGTTTTTATCTTTATTTTTTTTTTTATTATTGTGTCTGAACTTGGGTAGATACTTTTTCTATATTTTTCTAAAAATCTCACCTGTTTCTATATGATAAAAACATCAAAATGTCATTGTTTCTAATTTTTTGTCTTTTCCGTTTTATATTACAAAATAATGTTATTGTTTAATATTTGTACCTATGAACCTAATATTATTCATATCGCTGTAATATTAAATAAATAAAAAAATAATACATATTATATTACTCGATCAATGCCCTAAATTAGTGTAATAAAATATTATACTATTTTACGAAAATCACGCATCTTCGGGACACTTCCATGAGCTTGGCCGTAACCGGGACCATCCACCGCGGTTACCTCAAATTGTATTTATTTTTATTTTTAGTCTAGTGTTTTTTTTGGGGGGGGGGGTGTTGGCTTTAGGGGGTACCGTTGACGTTCAGGTGTGCCGTGTAAGTGGCGCTGTGCACCGGGTTGGCGGCGACGCACGTATAGTCGCCAGTGTCGGATCGGGACACGTTGTTCATGGTCAGTATGGTCGAGTACGCGTTGAACGGCGTGACGGCGGCCGCGCCCGGACCACGGTATACCGGGCCGCCGTCCTTCAACCAGGTCAGGTTCAGCGGCAGGTCGCCCTGGTGCACCGTGCACGCCACCTGTACCCTAGAGCCCTCGGTCAGCTCGGAGAAATAAAACGGAGTGATTTCTGGTGGCGCTGGAAACAGAAAACAGAAACGACGGTGGCGGGAAGAAAGGCAACAGACTCAAATACGAGTTAATACACGCGCACACATATTATTATTATCACACACTATAATAGTACAAAAATGTCATAAACGACAATAATAAATTATATTTATATATTATATAATATATGCAAAGTGCATAGCGATAGAGCAGCTTAAACCATGAAACACTATTGTTTAACGAACATGACGTTATTGGGAAACGACAGTGTGGTATAATAGTTTGATTTCATTTGAGTTTAATTCTAGTGCTGCTAAAACAGACCATATATTTTGTTAAATACAGGTATATTAATGTTTAATAGCCACTTCTTAGACGGTTGGCCAATTTGGTTTTAAAATTTTATTTTATTTTTCAGAGTTAAGCTGCTTGGGCAAAATTATTCTTACATCATATAGTATTATAATATGTGTGCATGTATATTATAACTTATAAGTAACAATTATTAAGATATTACGATCCGTGCAGAAAATTAATTAATAAATAAATAAATAAAAATTGTGCTCATGTGATTATTATAATATACCAATATTTTAAGTGCACGCCACACGAATTGAGATATCATATTGTAATGAAGACGCAGTTCGACATAATATTTAGACAAAACTTGAACGCAGGCACAACTATAGTGTTACTGTAACATAATAAAACCTCCCATCCCTCCCATGTGCACGGTATTTAACAATTTACAAAGATTTTGAACATTTTTGGGCTCTGTGGGGACCTAGAGCCGTGGTAATTTAAAGTGTTTGGCAATTATTATTAAAACGCCCACTTAGGTAGGTAATATTGGACTAGACCGCACTGTGCCAATTGAATGTATGTGCTGCGTTATTCAAACGGCCAGAGCTAAATAAAACCGTATACCACTCTCCGGGGAGGGTGGCCTAGTATTCCGAGTTCCAGCATTACTGTAGACTGTAGTTCTAACCTTCTCGAGTTAACAGACTGTGACTTAAGTGTGAGACACGCCTAATGAGTGACAGTTATCAACTATTAAATAAGAAAATAACCGGTGGCAAAATATAACTAATGTATTGTCGTTCGGTCTCTGGTCCAGAATAATGGCACGCATCGTTAACGGAAAATACCGGGCAGGCCTATGGACACAATACCAAATCTAACTTTTGCACTAATTTGATCACTGAAGTACCTATTAGTTAAAATGAAATATGCGTATTTTCCCCAATTTGTGTGGTATTATAACTTACTATATTAACAGCCTATACCAGAATCTAATATTAATATATATTATTTTATTCTAATTGACTTGTTGCGTCTCCTGTATGTATCTTAATTCGTGGTGCACACCTACGTACCCATACACACACACGGACAAAGTAGATATGTATTCACGTGCACTTGTCTATGGCATAGGCCAACCGAGACCCTCCCCAATATAATACAGGAATAATAAATATTTGAACGATCGCATTCTCAAAATTGATGAAATAATATTATGTTTTGTAATTTAAAATTATTATTTTTTTTTTTTAATTAATTAATTTTGGTAAAAGAAAAAAATTAAATATTTTAGCTCATTATTAGTCATTACATATAAAAGGTCATCTTTTTTTAGTCATCATCCCGTTGTTATCTTAAATAGGTAAATAATTGATCCAAAAAATCTTGATTTTCCAGATAAGTCATCCGTTCATATTTATTTTATAAATATGAACGTGAGATCGCATTGTGCGTATGTGTATGTGTACGGTTTATTCGAGTGTAAAAACACTATCGGTGCGATAATAGTATGATAATAATTATTGTGAAATAAAGTGCGCTTCAATAAAGTATACAAACGCTGTGACCGGTTTAGTGGTTACCTATTATACACAGTGCGGTCACTGTTAGCGACTGTGGTTTTATTAATGTAGGTATAGGTTACAGAGACATTGTTAATAAATATAGACCACATGCCACACCCGAGAGTTCTTCGTGTAACTAATGGGCATACATATTATCATTCTAATAATTTGTTACATGGCATTTACACTTTTATATAATGATATTACAATCAATCAGAAAGGAACAAAGACGTATCAGTGGCTTGTTCAAAAACTATCTATAATTGAGATAAGTTTGCCTGGCTTGTACGTGAGAATAATATTTTTGTGAAATTTGGTGGCCGACGCTCTGTAACCGGTCACATGCGTATCTTTTACAATATAATAATACCTAATAACACAATATTATTGTTATGTTATGATGCAATACAATAGTAGTTATAAAATATATGCTCCGATTCCATAATGTACTCGCGTGTTATTATTATAATAATAATAAAATATAAGCTAAAACATAGTAGGTACATATATATATTGTAATATTATATAATGGTGCTTGTGCATATTTAAGAAGACTGGTGCTGTGAGCGAAGTGAATATTCAGTGGAAGGACTATAACAACAGTGATAAAAAAAAAAAAATAACAATTTACAGTTGTCAAAAATATTATACATAATATTTTTTTATGGTGGAAGTGGCGGTGATATTGTGCGATCGCAGCGTGTGCTTGAAAAATAAAATCTCGAACAACTCGAGCGCGTGTGTGCGATTGTGCAACAAAGTGTTCTGTGGTGGTGATGCCGTCAAGGAACGAAGAAAAAAATAATCGTCGTTGCGACCGCGGAGATTGGCTCTTGTTATTACCGTTCAACAATAACTGATAACATAATTATGCTCTCTGATCGTACATAAAAACAGAACAGTGTGGACATAAAGGGTGAAAAACCATGTGATTAAAATATAATATAATGGCAATATTTCATTTTAAGATTATATGGTTTTCATCCATTCGTTGATGAAATGTGTATAAGAACCGAATAATGGATACATCAGCTTATACTATTATTATAATTAGTGGATTTAAGGTGTATTTGGTATTTGAAATTTTTTTTATCAAAACTCAAAAACAGTTACTAATCAGAACTCGATAAAATTGTATTGCCTTACTAAGTAACAAAATGTATAAGAAAGATAAAATATTAAAATGTTTCACAAGTCCAAAAACCTCCACTATTGAATACTAGACTACAATTTATAAGTCCATAATATTTTCCATCGAAATTCATATAAATTAATTGTCTAATAAACCAAACACATAAATTCTAAGAAAACAAAGAAATACTTCTGTGTCAGAAGATTTAGTCTGCTGCTTTTGTTTCGAATCACATAAAGTTAGTTTAAAAATAAAATAAAATACAAAAACGGTTGTATAAGACCTGATAATTTAAAAGGCATTATACCAATGAAGGCCAGTGTGACGGTCACAACAACGATGACAACATCAACGCAAACGACGACGACAACAACAACAAAAACTACAAAAACAACAATATACGTGTACGCAATGTGCTCGTGTAAAGGTGACGGCTTGTGTGCGCGCGCGCTGGCGTGAGTAAGTACCGAGGACGGTCAGCGTGACCGTGTGCTCGACCGTGGCCACGGGATTGGTCGCCCGACAAGTGTAATTGCCCTCGTGCGCCAATCGTATGCTCTCGATGAGCACCGAGCTGCTATACTCGTTCTGATAGGTCACGGACAGTGACGGCGTGGACGTCAAGTCCAGCGATTGGTTGTTTTTCAGCCACTCTATCGTCAGCGGCCCGTCGCCTTTGGTTATGAAACACTGCCATCCGACGCGACCGCCTTCGTGGTAACCGTCTCCTATCGTGAACGGATGGATGTGCGGTGGTTCTGCAATACACGCGTAACATGGGTAACCACACGTGACGGGGTCGTGTGTGTGTATGTGTGAGTTGTTGTGACCGTAAGTATGTGTATTTCTGTAGATCAGTGTGATTCGCGGTTCAAGGCGAGAGAGTCGACCTCGACCATCGAGCAACCACCATGTGGTTAAATAATACGTTAGGTTAAGCCTCCTCATTTCGGAAGGTTAAAATATGATATTAAGACAATCGTCCATTATACTGAGTTACCGTTTAGGATGAAAGAATTGAAACGGAACTCCTACCTAAACAACTTAACTGTCTGGAACCGATAGTTTTAATTTGATATTTTTTTTTAAGAGCAAAATCCGTTTAATTAAAAAGTCCAGTACCCCTGACGGACAGGCTCACTGACAAGAGAAAAAATAATATTTAATACAAAAAATAAAAGAAGAGTAGCAGTGAAATGTTGGTAAAATAATCCAAACAGATTGCTCTTATGTGAGATAAAAATAACGAAATTATTTTAGCAATAAAATGTGTTCTTAAAAAATGTACTAAAATGTTTTCATCAGTAAAATATAAAATAAATTGTAACTTTTACTTTACAGGACATCGTTTTATATATGTATCTTTTACAATTTTTATTTTGTTGCTAAAAATCGTGTAACCTACTTACGCAGTTACACATTTACATATTATTGTTATGTCAGATCCACAAAAATAATAACAGCTGTTATAACTTATATTTAAAATTATCTGTGTTATAAGAATATAAGAATATAAGAATATTGAAAAAGTTTTAAATCAAACGGAATTGGACTGAGTAAATCTCAGAAAATGAAATAATAAAACCACTAATCATACCCTCTTAGCATAATAAATTGTTGGATTTTCTGATTGATTTAAAAAACGAAATAATCAGAATTTTTTAATTATTTATAGTTAAGATACTTTCTAAGAAATTAAAAATAATCTTATTTGTTCATTAATTGCTGAATTTATATATGACTTTCACTATTATTTTATCAAATATGTTTGTAACTTTGTATTTTATGATAATAAGTAAACGTACTTATTATTATGATTCAAATGCACGATTATTTAAGTAGTGTGAAATTTTCATAAAATAAACAATGTATTTTGGTACATAATTTTTGTTTTGCTTTGCTATTAACCCGAAAACTCGATTTTAAGCGGCGTGACCTATTAAACGTTTGAATATAATAATAATATACAATTGTTTATTATACATCTGTCATCTGCTTTCGACTATCGAGTCACTGATCGTCGATGAAAATTATTGTGCATCATTAGATACGAATAATTCGTTGTACGATCTGCAAGATATCGGTGGTAAAAAAATAGCCATTTCGTGACGGATAATGAGATATTTTTTTAAACTGGTACAAGTCAGTCTTAACGGCTTACGTATTGCAACTATTAGCTCTTGAAACGGAGACAGAAATGTAAAAAATATATTTATTTCGTTCGTGCACATTACACTCGAATCGGAAACAAATTATTACGTTCCGTGTAACGTTCAGCCAATTGGCAATTTTCTACTCGAATTGAGTACCTACTGCGTTATTGGTTTACGTAACTCGAGTACCTATCACTATAATATCTATATCTAAGTACAATTTCAACGCACAAGCTGTGTCTTTATGTGGCCAATAACTATTAAACAGTAGGTACTTATTTCAAAACACTCACATTATGTGTTATTATTTAAATTACAAAAACTGAAAAACAACAGTTATGTATAATAATAATAATAATAATATACACATATAACCAGGGGTGGATACAAAGTTAAGTGTTAAAATGATACTAATAGATACTTATTAATCTCTAACAAAAGGTACCTGCCTACAATCTACAATATTGTAATTGTTTATACTCGATGTATTACATTTAGAAACTAATAGTACCTAGGTAGGTTTTTACCTACCTGATTTTAATTTATATGACTAAATTAATTTTGTGTAAGTCTTTCATTTTACGTTTCTTGGATTCACACCAGTTAAAATGTTTTATTTAATTGTAAATTGCCATCAAAATCAACAGCACTAATGAAATACTATATTATGTACATAGGTACGCGATTAAGTAATTTAATGTGAAATGAAAACTTTAGAGATTTTATTTCTGCAATTGAATTTTGTTATAATGGATGATTTTTTTTTTTTTTGAGAAATATTTGAAGCATAAAAACGATCACCTTATTGGTATGTCAGTTGCATGAAACTACAAGTATTTTATAATATGGATATTTATTCATAGATATATTTTAATATTAATCTCTTCAACATTTTTCAACCATATTTATATGATTCCCAGAAATTCCATTTACTCAATTATAATTGATCATTTTATATTGTATAATATTAAGAAACATGCATTTGAGACTCTATGGCGTGTGTGTGTTTTCGTCAACAGTGTGGTATCCAAACGAAAGATGTCGTTGTACTCTAAATGGCCCTCAAAAGACGGTTTTTGCTATATTTATAATATTAATTTATGTAGATTATAAACTATTTTTATTTAATGAAACGTAACAGTATTTTTTCGGATGGTCAGAAAATTATTGGCCATATAGAAATAATAGAAATTCGTTTTGCTAGATGGATAAAAGCCGTCTTTGGCCAAAATTATTTTTCAATGGCGATACGTGAATACGTGATTATCTATTAATTTTATTATTAAACGGGATATTTCTCCTTTGGTAGATTTAGAAACCGGACTTGGAATTGTATGCAATGTATCACTTTCGCATGGCCAGGACAATTAATAATTTATAGGTTTAATTCACTATAATAGTCACTGCGTTTAGATTTAATCGAAGCTGAAACAACTGATGAGTAAAATTTACGATTAATATTATGATATTTTAATGTAATATATTATTATTGTAGGTATCTAAATTCAATGATTTCGTATATGTAGAGATCGGGTCGTCGATCGGTAATTTATCTAATGGTTTTCGGCGTTCGAGGGTAACCACAAAGCAACGCAATATGTTGGTGAGCAGCCGCGAGTTCAAAACTGTTTTTAATATCAAAAATGCATGTGTCACGGCAACCGGCTGCCATTTCTGTCAATTGAACGACACGTTTTCAACAGAGAACTATGGCGTATAATATACACTCTGTTGGATGAATGACGTGTGTGCGAATATTATGATATGGTGTGTTGTAAATCATCACACACGCCCTCACATACGTTTATGACAATTTATTACTTATTGCGTTGCGTTGCGGTACCAAAAGTTTTGGAAGATTAATTGTCAGTTGCGAACTTTAATAATAAGTGAAACCGCTTTCAAAATATTATTATTTTCTTTTTGCGTTTCATATGAGGGTGCTTAGAACAATTTGCAACGCACTGTGGGTTTGGTACTGTTAATTTTTATTTAAAAACGATTTTTAACTATCATTATCATATATCAATAGGTATAATACGATATTGGAATCAGTGGCGTATTTACACCCACCCTCTATCAATCATTAATATCCAACCATGTTAACATATTGTGTGTTATTCGTTAATAACAAAAATTAAATTAACAAAAAAATGTATATTTGTATCATATAAATTTATAGATACATAATATAAAAATGAATGTTTATCTGTCTGCCTGTGTGTGTTGTCCTTATGCATTCCTAAACGGCTGCGGCTGGTCCCATATTGAAGAAATTGTTTGTGTGTATTCAAGGATTGGTTCCTAAGATGATTTAGGTTCAAAATTGGACCCGGTAGGTTCAACCCGGTTAGGTGCTCAAAAGGGGATTTTGAGATTTGAGGTGGAATTTTTTGTTTATATATGGTTGCAATTGGTTATATAGGAGAAATAATTAGTAGAAATTAGTATTTATTATTTTATTGTTTGTCATTTTTTAATTGGGCAGATCGAGTGCAAACATGAATCAAATCGAATTTTCGCACATAACGTATTTGATATATTGTCGCACATTGTCCGCGATCTGAAGTAGTTGGATTGTCTACCAGGGAGGCTGAGTTTCATCCAAAAAGAGTTAAAAAATCACAATTTTTAAAAACTAATTAATTATAGCTGTGCCAATAAAGCCTCCTACGGAAGTGTGTTTGAAACAAGATCTGATCCCCTTCATATTCACACCTCACATGAAAAATTCATAAATACGCCACTGAATTTGAAATTGTTAGAATTTTCATATTTTGTACATAATATTGTTATTATATTAAATGGACTTGTAAATCTTAATAGACCTTTTAATGGTCACTATAAATGTGAGAGCCAATAATCATTTTGTAAAATATCACAATTTATTATAGTTCTGTTAACATTTTTCCGTCTACAAATCACCATGTCCTAGGTATTTTTCAACCGTGTAGATGAATTTAAAAAATATAGTTAAATAATAATATTTATCCCAAATATTTTTTTAGAGCAAGTATCTAAAGTTAATATAACTTAGAATGTAATAGGTAATATGTATATTCAAAAATTAATTGAGTCAAGCATGGTATATATGTATATAATAATATTATTGTTTTGATTATGAAAAAAAAAAAAAGAATAATAATATATTGTATTGGTAACGACGTCAATGAAAGTAGGGCTATTGATTGACACAACGGGTGAATGGATAATTATATTATGTTCATCAATAAGTATACCTACCTATGATATTATATTATGTTTTGTTCATTATTGTTGTTTATTATTATTCAGTTATAACGTGGAAGTTTGTTGTGGATAAACCATAAATTATTATACTTATTTATTGGTTAAAATGCAATTAAAGTAAAATTGTGGATCCCGATCGGGTACTATACAGTTGATTGATATATTGACGTTACTATAGTACCTACCTTTGATACAATATTATTTGTTAATCTTGAAATTTGGTTAATACCAGCCTACCACGTCGATGAAATAAAATACTTATAATATTGTACCTAATAAAAATGTATTATCTATTCTAATATACGCATTATTTTTCAAACCCGTTGGTGTAAATGTATATTTCATTTCATTATTGCAATAAAACCATCTCAATTGATAAAATATTTTAAATGTTCTCTTCGTGTTACAAGGATCAGACATTTTAAAATAATATATTATTGTAACGACATCTTTAATTATTATGTTGGCGGTGATTAGTTATCGGTTGGTTAAATTTGCAATCCGACTGAACGCGCAAATTTGTATTAGCCCCGTGTTACATCAATTAAAATCTGCACAGCGATTAATTAATATCTACCCTTTGGGTAGTTAATAATAATAATAATAAAAACCATCAATTTATTTATTTTTCGATTTCCGTTACGACAGATTTAATCTTCGTCAACAAAAATTAAACCGTCCGAAATAAACGGAACATTGTTGTTACCTAATTATAATGATAATAATAATTATTATTATTGCATCGCCGTTTTAGACTTGTCGCATAAATGCTTACCTATTACGACGACTTCGACCGAAGCTCGGACAACGTGTTTTTCGTTGCTAGCCTCGCAGTAGTACGTCCCCTGGTCGGTCTTTTTCTGCACGTTTTCGATGACTATCGAACCGTTGGCAAACACCTTGTGTCTCTTGTTCAGTAACTTCCCTCCGGGTAACCTCTTATTATCTGATGGAAACATATATTCATACACATATATAAATATATATATACCTGAATATATCTTTATATATATATATATATTCAGGTATATGTATAGAAAAACAAAAAGTAATAAAACAATAGCGGAGGGGGGAAAAGTGAAAAATAACCAGTACCGCGGTAGTTGCGAACGGAAATCGTACCACCTTTATATATATATATACACATTACACACATCGAGCTTCCCTTCTTTCGTGTGCTATTTTTCTAAGCACCTCCTATTGTTTGTAATGTACCGGTAGAATATTGTCGCCGGAAAACAATGCCATTAGAAAAGCTCGAACAGAAACTGAACAATGTGAAGGGTAAAAATAAATACATATATATATATATATATTTATATACCTATATATCAATCTATGCACTTCGAGGGATATCGCACAATGGGCTCTACCGACGTATCTTATAACTTAGTTTGGTCCACGCGGCGGAATGCAGAGGAGAATACAGAAAAAAAGAAACCATTTGTAATCTCTTCTCTTAACAATTTATCGAACTCGTCCATGTGCGTATGGGGAGCACGTGCATTCCTATTTTTTTTTTTTTTATAATACGAAACAAAACAAACACTGGCGTAGGCGCGGGGTGTGTACAGCTCATAACATATTTAAATGACCAGTTTTCCCAACCGACGGCTAAAGCTTTGTGTGAGGAGAAGAGTGGCTCGCTCGTAGTGTGATAGCCGGAGTGTTTTGATGAACCTCCGGGCTATAATTAGAAACCCAGACTTACATAAAGTAGACGTCGAGTGGGGAAGCTGTTGGCTGGTTGTTATAGCAAAACTCACCCTACGGGCACAACAATAAAGACAATTTTCGTATAATGCCCACAGTGATATGTATGCCACTTAATTATACTTCAAGCATTTCAGTATATCTCAAAACGCGTAGGTATACATCGTACATTATTTATGAACATATTACTGCATGGAATAAATGCGCCATTGATAAAAAAAAAAGAAAAGATTGTCGTTATTTTGGCTCGTTTGAAAGTCAGAGCCATAAGCTACGTTATATTTGAATCGTATATTGCAATATTTAAAATTGAATTTAGCCGCTGTCGATGACAAATTAATCTCTCGTTAATTTTTAACCAAACCTCATCAGTTTCTGTAGCATTTTCTCGATCATATAACTTATAATGGCAATTCTTATTTTATTCAGACACGGCATAACGTTCAAATTAACAGTTATACTTTTTAAATTATCTTTATAGGTACCTTATAATTTATAAATAAATTAGGTAATAATACCTATTAATAGTATTAACATAATGTAATTTTAGACATTTTCAAAACAATTCACGCAAAGCATACTTTGAAATTATTATGTTTTCTCGTTATTTTAACACTTATTAAGCTGTAATCATTATGGAAACCTATTATTAGTACCAAGCTTATTTTATGTTAAATTATTATTTAGTAAAGTTAAAAAATTACCATTATTAAAACAATAATGTACTAACATTAACAAATAAAGTAATTTATAAAACGCATATTTGTACATAGTTTATGAAAATGTTGGTTAGTCAAGTGATTTCTGTATGCAATATATCAATTACTATCGGTTATAAATTAATTATTACCATAGTTTTTAAAAAAATTATTTTTATAATAAAATCAATTTAAAAAAAAAAATGTGTAGGTATTACCCACTGTGGGAAATTAGATATTCATAATTTTATAGATGTCATATAATTATGAATATCTAATTAATTTAATAAAAAAAATAATTTAAATTAATAATTTAATAAAATAAAATAAAATAAATAAAATAATTATATTTTAGATACATCTATATACCCATTTACTATAAACATATTATGTACCTATGATACAATTTGGTTAAATTAATTTAATTTCCCATAATATGCAATAAACATTTTCCATTTTTGTAATTTAACCAAAATAGTGAAATGTTTAATGGATCGAAAAGTGCTGTTTTATAAACTAAAATAAAATACAATGTCTACGTATAAAGTAATATTAGTAGTTGATTGAACACTAAAACTGTGATTGATGACATTGAAAAAAAAAACACTATGAGTATATTTAAAAGCTGAAACCCTTATGATGTTTTCAGTGAGAGGTTTTGTGCTTAATCCAAGAATGATGTTTAATGACTTTGGATAATATTTAGAAAAAATGTACTAATGACTTGTTAAAATTAGGTTTGATATACAAAAAAAAAACTTTCTTTGACATACCTCCATTAACTTGTTGTATATACTATTGTTAATCAGTTTAGACAATTTCGAAAAACTCATTAGAAAACGTAAATAATATCTGAGCTTACATCGCAAAATTTAAACTTTGTAGAGGTTTAATAACATTAAATTAAAGTTGATGCCGGATTTATGTGAATAGATAAAAATAGAAAGTTTCTAGTATAAATCGTCAAACAACTTCATAGCCACACATTTAATTTAATGATGTATTGCTATATTTCAACTTTTAAATTCAAAATTAATCACTCACGTAAACATATAATATAATTCCTATACTACTACGGTTCGACAGTAATTCTCTCCATAAAGTTGAGAAATATATAGTCTCTAATTACTTTTACATCGCGTACGAAGAATAAATAATCACATTAAAATGGAATATTGGAAATAAAGTTATAATAGAAATTTAAGCAACAATATTAATTGTGTGTTGAACATCCACAGTGTAAGTACTATTCTAAAAATTTCCAAAACTGAGTTAATTATTGATTTGCATAAAGCAGTAGTCGGCAACCTTTTTGGAGTCTGGGGCCCAATTCAAAAATTAAAAAAAAATAAACAGGACATGTCAGAAAAAAATTTAAATGTTTTGTGTTATTTTAAAAATGTTGATTATGTTCATTACAAAAACGCTCTAATTATTTGATTATTACAAAATGGAAAAATATAAAATTTCAAAAGTTGGCCATAGTGCACTTTAGTAGGAAGCTAGATAGCAGAATTAAATTAAATTCATAACTTACTATTTACACTTTTCTTAAAATTGTATAAAGCTGATATTATATTATAAATAGTGTTTGAAGTATGAAATATTTCACAAAAACGTGAAACATTGAAATTTTTTTTAACACAAATAAAACAGATTTTTTTAATTTTTTTAACACAATGTTCATTGTTCTAAATTATAATGTAAGAACTCAGTACGTTACAATATATAATATGTATAATATTGTATAGCTATAGTTGTGTTATTTAAACATTAAAATATTTAAAAATTTTGAATAGTTGAATAAAATTTTAAATGTATAATACCAAAGGTTAGGTAAAATACAATTATGAAGGTATTATGATATTTATGAATAATTATGACAATAGTATGTAAATATAAAACTTATTTAAAATTATAACAAAATTAATTAAACTACTGAATTATTTCACTAGTTTGAAATATATCACTAAATATTTCAACATTTTAAATTTCATGAAATTTTCAAACACTAATTATAAATAAATATTTTGAGAATTTATAAATTTAATTTGCTTTTATATTTTTTTCAGTAGATAATAAATTATCCAGTCTCTATCTATATTATTATTTATTGATAACACATTGTGCAAAAACTATAGTCTTTCGAATTATCCAATAATTCCATATAACCATTAACAGGCCAATAAACTTAACCTTGCATTATATTGAGATTTGAAAATGTCAAAAATAATAATTTTGTAATATTTTAAAATTAATTTTCCAAAAAAATTTCAACAATCAATAAAAACATAAATGTTTTATTTCTTAAAATTATGTAAAAACGTAAGTACCGTTGGATGGAAATAGTGCATTTTGGAATAGGTAATCAATAAATGTCAATGTTAAATTTAGGCAATTAAGATACATTAATATTCTTACTGAACATAAAAAAAGCTATTTTTTAATAAAATTAAAATTCATTTGGTTTGAATACCATAATATTTTTTCCCTATAATAATTCAATCATTCAAAAACTCAGAAATACTGAAAAAGTATAAAATGTAAATATTATGTCTTGGATTGACACCCCACATTTAAAAATAAATATTTGAATCTACATCGCTTTTTTGTTCAAAGTTTATTGAAAAAGAAACGAATGATTGAACAAAAGTTTATTCGAAAACAGTCCATTTTAATATAAAGTTCTTGTTAATAATGCAACAATATTATAAAAATATTAAACTTTGAAACTTTGCACTTTCATTTTCCGTCGGTAATTAAATATCAGAAATAATTTTCTTTTCAATTGTCTATTCTATACTTAAACATGACCATGATTGGATCATATTTGTATTGTTTATGTCGATATTTTAGTAATTAGTGGGTTTTTCCGCTATATTTAAATAGGTAGCTTAAAAATAAAATAATAACAATATAATATTATTCGTATAATATATATATATTGTAAAAATATTGTGGACCGAGATGGTATAAAATAAAAATAAATTAATAAAATAAAAAAAATAATTACAAATACAATTTTTACCTTTTTCCCAATTGATGTTGAAAATTGGATATCCAGATATTGGACAGGTCATTTGCAATTGTTGACCAGCCCGCGCAATAATCTTAGGAGTTTTCTTGGCCACCGGATCACCTGAAATGCCAATAAATCTCATAAAAATGTAGCCATACAATAATTTAAATATTCAATCGTAACAATAAATATTACTAAATATATATAAACGTTGGAGTACAGATTTGTATTTAGTAAAGAATGTAATTATTTTTAAATTACAAATAAATATATTGTGGCTGAACCACAAAATAAAAAATTTAAGAATATGCATAATTTAACACGTCTGTGACTGTGCGATAAAAACTCAAGACCGGTCACCAACGAGTTCATTTATACGTTTAGTTAGTAGTTATTTTTAATCTTAACCGGTAACTTTGAGGTTTTAGTAACTTATTTTTCAACTTGAATAAATTGTGCGCATATTACGATGTCGCTTACAAAGTTATGAGTTAATTTTCAGCCAAACCCAGATAAGTTTGTTATAAAAGTTTCCATTCCTTTTTAAACAGCATATTATACTACCTATTAATTTCGATTCTTATATTCGGTATAGTATAATATGTGAGATAGAAGGTATCGGGTGAAATCAAGTTACAAACTTGCATTGGTTTTACTAATTTATTGAAGTCAACCGAGTTAAAATTATTCATCAATTTGCAAGCTTTGGACTGATTACACGATTCGTCGGCTGAGGTGGATGAGTGAAAAATAGTTTACTCGAACACTGCAATAACTTTCTGTGGAGGTCGTTTCGTACACATAACATCGTGTGGTGTATAGTTTCGGCGATATTGTTTTAACGATGCCAGTTTGTTCTGTTCTAGAATTGCGAACATTCCCAAGACGCACGTCCATATTAAGAGAGAAAAAATGCATATTTCTAGCTGAAATATATCTTTGCGGCGTTGCAGTGGCTTGGTGTATAATACAAACTACCAGCACAACGATAATACTTATAATATTTAAATTTACGTGCGAACCATATGGCCCAGGACAACGCGGAAGGTACCTATATATAGTGTCAAATATCAAAATATGAAACACACGATAATGTGATATCACTATCATTGTATGTTTTATGCTGTATCCGACGAGCTACATTTACATGAGGACGATACAGTAAGTTATCTCACTCTGTGAATGTTCCAAAAAGTCGGCAGTATGCTGACAGAGTCACACCGGTGATTGTGTAGATGACGTACAGCAAAAATCGTCAGCAGCCATGGCAAATCGATCGAATAAATAGATACGTTTTAAGTATCCAGCTCACTAATAAGTGATTGCCAACGTATCATTTCGATGTTTGTGATGTCACCTGTCAGCGCATTGTGGATATTATCAATATCAATATTTTGTTGAGTGTTTTTTTTTTTTTTGTCTTCACAAATTTCGTTCACCGAAAATTATCTTATTTTTGTTACTTATGTCGTATATTGTAGACAGTCGTCACTGTTATATTATTTAATGTACACATAATTTAGGTAGAAAATAATTTAACGATTTAGATATTAATATAGGTTAGGCCAATGAGGCAAGATGTGCTGAGGCAGCAATAATATTCTCCTTTTTAACACCGCCGTACGCGCATGCACGAGGAGTCCCGTTGTCGCTCAGTAATTTGGCGAGGACGATTGTACGTGTGAAGCGACAGTCGCAGTACGGCCTAAGTATTTTTTAAATAAGTGAATTATTTATGTTTGTTTTTATAATTTAATAGAAGTGTTTCAGACCTGAAAACCCGAGTTAAACATTATTTTAGTCATTCTTACGTTCTTACCTTTAATAATGGAACAGTGCTCAGACCAGTGTTGGGAATAATCTAGATAAAATTATTTCTTAAATTATCTTATCTAAATAAAAATAATTAAACCATCTAATTATCTGATGTAGATAAATGTAATGGTTATCCGTGGTAATTTATCTAGATAAATAATACAATAATAAGAATATTTTTAAATACTGAAATAGCCAATAATTTACGAGAACCGAGTAGTGATTCCAAATTCCAATATTAGTATAGTTAAAAAAGAAATGTTTACTGAAACATTGTCAGTTTTATTTTGTTATTGTATTTTTATTTAAGTTATATTAAAAATTAAAATTGCATAGTATTTTAGTTAAGAAATGATATTAAGGATTTATTTATTAATAAATATTACCGAATTTTTAATTACTAATAAAGTAATAAATTATATTATTTATAATATAATTTAAAAACAAATTATCCATTTTTTTTATCTAGATAAATTAGTATTTATATAAATGTTGAATGAATTATCTGTTATCTTATCCAGATGATGTTTTGGTTATCTTTTCCCAACACTGGCTCAGACACACATACCTATAATAGTCAATGAGGTTTATTACAAACTGAAGAGTGCTCTGGTCCTATGGTCCTAATAGTCATTCCAATTTAATAAACAGACGTATTTCAAAATTATAGTACAAAGCCAAAAATAACTATTCACATTTTTAAGTCTAATGAACAAAACTCGTGTTATTAAAATATTTGTAAAGTAGAGTTTTTGTTTAGAAAGTATATTTATAATAACCAAAATCTGGTATAATGTCGAGTAGGCTGATATTTTTGATGAATGATTTTAGTACTCTATCCGGCAGCTTATTAGCTAACAAACTAATTATTATATTCGCTATCTTGATAAATTACACAAGTTTGGGTTCTGAAAACATTACAGACACTGTCATAGTTAAAGATGTTAACCAATTCGCCACCGAAAATTGTGTTAAAAGTTAATTTTGAGTGTATAAAGCAAAGTTTGCAGTATATCAAAAATAATCATTAGTAATACACAATTTAATATTTCGTCTAAACAATAACAGCACTACAACAGCAGTCTTACGCTTTAATACTTAGTTCTTGCTATTCGTACCATATATTGTGATCCAATTTTCAAATGTTAAAACATTTAATTTTATATACATAAGTTTAGATGATGACTGTCAGGAAAACTTAAAAAAAAAAAAACAACAACAACAGTGGAAGTTTAAAATAATTACGGGCTGTTATATTTTACTAGCAGGACGATACTGTAATGAATCGCAAGGTGAAAACCTACAACTTACTACTCCAGTAGTAAGGTTTTACCTGCCTATAGATACGCCTACGTCAAGTTGTATTTTAATTTTACACCGACTATAAGTAGGTCCTATATTTTATAATAAGTGAAAACCCGGTAATCGAGTTAAGCGGACTTGAAACACAACGGAAATAATATGTCCGGTTCGGGACGAATAATATTCGTGACACCCTCGCCGACGACGTATCACTTTTAACAGCGTTCAATGCGTAAATGATTACTTTTAATTGCTCTTGCGAACAAGCACACACGTCACGTGCTCGCTGTACTAAAAAACGAGATCATCGTCCGTTTTAATGGGGGGGGGGGGGGGAAGTGCAGGGGTCGCGCGGGCTTGAGTGTGCAGTTTAATTGTGAAGCCGGTTAATATATTATAATATTACACAGTATATTATTATTATTATTATAATACACATGCGACGACGGTAGGTATACTTTTCGGGTGGAATTCCGTTCAACAGAGTAATAGGCCGTGAGGGGTGACACAACTGGTAGACTGTTAAGTTATTGTACCAGGTGCTCGAGAACGGCTCCTCGTTTGAAACACGAACAATGCGCTTACGCACTGCACTTATACACGACGACGTGAAACCGAAATGCCTACCCGGAGCTTCAAGCAAATAGCTATTGATTTTTTTCATTTGCACGACCAACGATATACTTACACCGATGCGTAACTATATATATTATTATATATGCGCTTTGTAGGTAAATTTTTTATAATTGACTTATCGCGGATAAGTGCCTATGATATGATCGCATTTGATGCCAAAGACGGTTTTTTGAGCGGTCTTGACGATGTTTTAATAACGTCTGCGAATTTCATTAAATCCGTAGGTATATAAGAATGACTTTAACCTATGACGAAGAACTAATCTTCAGCCTTCCGATGGATAACAGTTATTGTAAAAAACAAACTCGGTGCAGTATTACTATAGGTATTAAAATGTATTGAACATTTTAAAAATACAAAAAAAATGGTTTATATGTATTTATGTTACCGACAAAACACTTTGTGGGTTGAACGTAAAAGAAAATTTGAGACAGTCTGTTATATTTCGGATTTTTTCCAGGAATAAGTCCAATATAATATAGTTAGAACAATGACAATGGATAAACTCTAAAGAACCGACAAACGAATAACGTTCATCTCCTATGTATTATATTTCTAACAAAAATCAGTTACAGATTCTTTTACAATGATTGATTTCCAATAGATCGAAATAATATGATTTCACGACTTGTAATTATACGTGTCATAAGTATATAGTTAGTTTTGAATACTATTGAACCACTGTTTTCTATATATTATCAAAAAATAAAATTATGTATTCAACATGGAAAAATATAAATTACATGGGTATGTTTTTAGGCTGTGGGTCAGTCGAAAATGTTCGAAAAACTTTTATTGTAACGAAAAAAATTCGAACTCGTGTGTTGTGGTATAATGGCTTTTTGAGTTCAAGTTAACGTATTACTTATGATTTATACTACTATACCTAGGGCCTTAAAATTTCATGAAATTTATTTTCTTGAAATAATTCATTTATGTGAAAAAAAAATTAAAAATTGAGTGTTTGGTATATCTAAAAGTTAATAGTCATAAACATACAGTAAGAGAACATTTTTGAAAGTTGGTTAAATATATCGAATACCGCCTACCTACTAATAAATAATTATAATTCATAAGTGATATATCAACCGATAATATAACTCATAAAATTGATATACCTAATTTATAACCATTAACATAGTAATTGTTAAGCATTGGCTGATAAGTCATTCATCATCGATAGTTTCTGTGTGTAAATCAATAATCACCTTCAACGAAATACGTTTAAAAGGAAAAATGTTATTGGAATATTTCAAATTGAGAACCCAACTTATAATACAGTATCATATATCTTATTATTATACTAGCTTACAGAAAAAAATCCTAAATAGGTATCGTATTGACATGGATATTGTGCACATGTGGGAGGCCCATCTTGTACTAGAGTTATTAGTTAACCATGTCATATCAGATTATTTTTGAGCCACCGGCAAGTGAGGGGTGAGGAGTTTGGTAAAATCATTAAAATTAGGGGAGGGAAAATATTTTTGATATTGAAGCAGATTGATATCGATGGCGTAGCGCACAAGTGTGATAAGTGACATTTTCGTAATTGTTCAGGAGAACGATTTTTAAGTTTGAGATGTAATAACAAATTCAAAAATGTAACGAACTGTACGACATCTATCGGAGTAAATAATGAACTATTCACTTAAAACGTTTGGGCATAATGTGCAGAATTGTATGATTAAATTGATTATGCACTTAACTCATTTTTCAAAAAATGTCACTTATCACACTTGTGCGCTACGCCATCGATATAATGGTTAAATCGCCGTCTGAGCCAAAAACATATTTATATGGTTCTGTGTTTTTTTGTGTAATGGAGATAATACAATTATAATTTAATTAAAAATAGGTATCTACGTTGTATTTAATAATATTTTTAATTATCAATGTTGATTAATGATATTCATATTTTTTAATTGAACGTTATAAAGTTTCGTGTAACGATTTTCTAAATGCATTATTTTCGTTTTCCGTTTTAATTATGTTTAAAATTGCAATCGTTTTTTTTTTCAAAGTATATAAACTTATAATTTGAACGTAAATATAACTTTTTGAGCACTAGCATAAAAAAATCAAAATTTATTTTTTTAAATAAACATTGTCTCCGGTTTAAAACTGTCACTTTCATATTTATTTTTATATATAAATTAATTATGCAAGAATATTAAAAATAACAAATGTTTATAAACACAAATAAATAACAGAAGGTATATAATATTTTAATCAAAGCGAAAATCATCGCTTTTATTTGTGATTATTTATTGATAATGGGAACAGGAAAGTATTTTTAATCGTAGAATTGAGGATTTGTTTATTTATTTTTTTTTTTTTATGGAAACAATAATAATGTTTGACTAATAAATAATTTCAGTTTATTATCAAAATTAAATAACACAATTTTTCTGTATCTTTGTCGCCTTTTTTTGTTGCAAGAGTTGAACGTCAACTATTCAATATTTATTAATAAGAATGCTCTTATCAGTTTCCAACCCACGTCGTATGCTCACTTAACATTTGTTTAATATTTTTCAACTCCCACACCAACCATCGTATAATATGAAGTATATCGACTCAAACCATATTACAGAAATTAAACCGGATAATTCCAAATATAGCCGAGAAACATTTATCAAGCTTTAAGATATCATGAAACAAAATATTTATGTGTTGTTTTAAACGTCCTTAATATTTAATATTACCAGTTATTTTTATGTCGTTAATAATTTTGAAGAAGGAACTTTAAATTTATGGTTTGTTTCGTATTATATTATATTACAATATAATACAAATATTATTATATAAATTGTATGCTTAATTCATTTCATTCAAATAAATAAGTATAAAACAAAAGTGTTCAATTGCTATAACCATTGTAAAATGTGTAGACCTATGTCTTGTCAATAATATATGCTTTAATCTGGTATATTATTATTTATTTATCCTTTATCTGATTATTAAATTTTAAACTTTAAATATACATGCGAAAATAATAACTAACGAATCCAAAAGGGTCTTGTGATCTATTTAATATGTACTGTAACTCTGATCGGACCGTCGTAATTTCATAATAATATATAATTTAAAATAATATTACATAATACAATATTATTTTTGTATGATATTTTATTACATCGAGTTGATAAAACACATAGTTTTTATGATTTTTAAATATATATTTAATTCTATAAGTCTACTTATGTAAGGTAATAAATAATAATTATAATACTGAAAATAAATAGTTATATGTTTGTAAAATGTAAATTGATAACAATAGTGATTTATTTTGTTAGATTATACTTCATATTATTTTAGTGTATATATTGTATGCTTCTTTTTAGCACAAAACTTGTGCAACATATGCACTAAAGCTGCAAGATTTAGTTTCTATTTATATGACTTCTATAACTGTATATATTTTGTGCATATCCCACACATTATTTCGTTCATAGATCAACTCCTATCTCTAGCTTTAACCATGATATAGTAATATTATTTAAATATATTTTAAATCATAATATTATATTACAATTTATTAATTTTCATTGAAACTTCGAATCAGATAACTTCACACAGTCGTGATAAGTAGATGGAAACATGTATACATCGAGAAATAAATTCCAACTCAGTGCACTTTTGTTATATTTGCATTGTTACAGTAAGGTAATGGAAATTACTATATGCTGCTACAGACTCGAACCGTTAAAGTTATCAAACAGTTTCCATACTAACTTTATGAAGAATATTTGCATGCCTATATATTTTTTAATTAAAATTATATTACAATTCGGATTTCCAAGCGGTACAAATTATGTGTCGGTTTTATTATAATGACATTAACTAGTTTTTATTTATTTTCAACTGAAATAATGTCGCAAAAGTTTATAAGTTTTTTTAGATATACGATTAAAATATATTTTTACTCGATTGGACAATTAACACAATGCACTTTAGAGAGGTCGATTTTAGAATAATCTTGCCTTTTTCCAATACAATAATTTAATTTTTAGTTTCTAACCACTATTGGTACATAACCACAAGTAAAAAATATACAATATTTAAGTCTACGAACCATAAACTTGTATTTTCGCTGAATGCGACACTTGGCCTGCTCGATTGGAAACAATGCATTCGTACAGACCACCGTCTTCCACTTGGACTTTGGTGATGTTGAAATGACTGACGACATCTCCGATTTCTGTCACATACTGACTAACCGATATTCGCCTGTACAAAAAATATCGTAATCAAATTCCCGATAGCTATACCTCATAATAGTATTATATACTAAGTACCACGGTTCCCTTCGATACAATATAAGCACACAATAACATAATGTATTCATTTGTACAGAGCGTATCACGTGATAATTTACAATGTCACATACAGGTACAATTACTGTTGTACGCCTGTAATGTTCAATAACGTCAATAACTTATCACGTGATGGGCCCTGTACATGCAATTCAGAACATTATCGTGTTAGACAATTATAATATTATTATGTTCCTTACATCTGCGATAGAGAGACGTCGTTACCGTCGAACTTCCAGGTGATGTGAGGAGTTGGTGTGCCAAATGCAATGCACTTGAGAGAAACGTCCGGACCGGGTTTCAACAAATGGCCGATGAACTTGTATTTTAATGTCGGCTTGGAAGCTGAAACAGAAAAAAAAAACCTCAACAACTTCATTTTGTACAGTTTATTTCTGACGATGGGAGTATACTAGCTATAGTAATTACACTCATCGTCACAGATCGATTGCAGCTGGCGGGAAAAACGTGTAGAAATCAACAGACGTTTTTTGCTTACAAGAACGATTTTACTCACGCTCCTACTATTTAGTACTATATTATCAAGTATGGTTGTGGACTGTGGTATACTAAGAACGTCAGTATCTAACGAAATGCGTTTTCGTCGGTCACGAAATAACCGTAGTATTTTACGATCTCGGGGTTCAGCATGAACCATAGACTATACAGCGTTTTATAGAAGTCAGCTCAAGAAAAATATATTTGTGTTTTCTGTTGGGGTATGTACAGAGTACACAGTCAAATATCGTAAAAAACTAAAACCTAAAATTATGAAAGTAAAAAAAATGAATGGAATACAAATACTAAACAAAATTTAATGAAGTACATCGTTAAAACTTAAAAATAAAACAACCAAATCATACACTATATTGCAAATTGTAGATAGTTATTAAAACGTTGTATTTCGCTTTAATTAATTTCGTCAGTCAATGTTAACATACTTAAATGCATTAATAGAAGCTTCAGTTATCTTTTTTAATATCAACTCTTACCTATCGTGTACAATTGATTGCCATATTGCGGCTACTTGTGGTTTGAAATATAAAGTCAAATATCGTTTTGACCTAACTTTCAATAACCAAACTTTACCAACGTATAGGATTTGACATAAAGAAGTTTAACAGATGCTTTTGCAACGTAGTAATATTGTTGTGAAAATGTTGAAACATATTAGCTCATCTGAGGTTACTATTGTATACAAAAGTACAATGTGGACACATTTATCTTTTGAGAAGCCAGAAATAGTTGGATCCATGACCCATGTTAATTTTGACAGCAGCGCAGGAGTTTCAAAAAAATAAAAAAAAAACCAAGACCATTACGTTCTTAAATATTTTATTTCAATATGCTTAAATACATATATTAACCTACCTATTTTTTTTTTTTAAATTCTTATAATTATAATGGCGATCCATTGAAAATACTTAAATCTAAAATAAGAGTACAAAAATAATAAATAATATTATATTAAACTTTTTTTTAGACATTTGAATTTCAAATTTGGACGAAATACTGATTTTATTTATATCGAATTAATTTAAAATATTATTTGTGTGGAATTGAAACTTTTATTTGTACATCGTCATTATATATTTTTGTATACACAATGTAGGTACCTAATGCTTAAAACCTTTAGATTAATTTTAAACTATTTAATAGTTATACCTATTTATATCACGAAGATATTCAAACCTTGTTTCACAGTAATTTGGTATTTTCCCAAAATGTAATAACAAAAATATATTATTATGATATCGACTAATTTAATGTACCATATTATGAATAATATAATAAATTAACAAATATTATTTAGTAGTATAATTAATATATCATAAAATATACTAAGTAAAATTAATAGGCCGTTAGGTTGCTTCATTCAGAATTACTTTTACAATATGTAATGCATTTTTCATCGAATTTACACCATTCTTTACAGCGATTTACTCAATGACGTGATACTGTCGACTACTATAAAGCAGAACGGTCACCTTCTTTTTTCATAGGTATAAAATTATTTGCCTTATTTGAAATGCGCATTTGAATGGGTCACGGTTAATCAAGAGTTTCAGTGAGATTTGATCATTTATAATTAGTGGACCAAAAAGTTGTTGTGTGAATGGGAGAACTTGTGGTTTAAATCCGTGTGTGTTTAAATGTGAAGGACTAAGCTGAGGTTACGTTGGTCTCTTAATGGCTGTACACATTATAATGCCACATTTAGATTATATTCTAAAAGCCCGCGGGCTTTTACCGAGGCAAAAGTACCATAATAGCTAGATAATTGTTTTTTTTTTTACTGTTTTGTTAATGTTTGCAGACAGTTATATTTTCTTGAATAAATATTTCAATAGTTTTTTAAATTATTGTATGAATACATGGCCGTGTGCCTTTCACAGGTGTCATACAAATTTTGTCTTGGAAATTTAGAATTTAATTCAAATAACTATGTCGATTTATAATAATTTAAATCAGAGTTGTTTTTTGGAATAATATAAAGTTATCTAATAGGTATATACAAATCCTGTGTCACGGTGTAAGTGATCGAACTTCTCCCAAACGGCTCGACCGATTTGAATGAAATTTTTTTTGTATATTTAGTAGTTATGAGAATAGGTCGTACATTTTTTTTCACCTTCCTAGGTCCAACCCGGGAAAGTGCTCAAACAGGGATTTTGAGATTTAAGGCTGACATTTTTGTTTATAAATGGTTGCTATATGTTATAGGAGAAATAGTTAGTAGAAATTATTACTTATTATTTTGTTGCCATTGGTTAAGATCATTTTCAGATCAGGGGCAAGCATGTATAAAATGCATAAAATCTAATCAAATTTGCTCACATTGCCTACTTGTTATGTTGTCGCACATTGTCCGCTATGCGACGTAGTACTGTAGTAGCCGGATGAGTTGCGCCCAAAAGGAGCATAAAATGCATAAAATCTAATCAAATTTGCTCACATTGCCTACTTGTTATGTTGTCGCACATTGTCCGCTATGCGACGTAGTACTGTAGTAGCCGGATGAGTTGCGCCCAAAAGGAGTTTAACAATCATTATTTTTTTTAAGGGCAAAGAAGTGGGTGGGATCAGTTATAAGTTTATAATATTGATAAAATAATTTTGTTAAAATATTACAATAGAGTAACAGACTAATTTTCCCTCACACTAACCTTAGTTTTTACATGCTGGTGAAATAGTGGAACGTTATTTGTACTGGACGAGTATCAGTAATCTTCATTCGACAGTTAGTTGATTTTTTAACAGATTTTATTTGTATGTGCTTCATGCATAAATATTTTTCACATTTTAGTAATTCAACGTAATTTTCTTTTTTTTTTTATTACAAATTTATTTTTAATGAATATTTTTGAATAGGTCTTGTTATGCACAGTTTATTTTTTCAGTAATGTATATGGAAATAAACGAATTGTTATTCTAATATTATATTATTTGATAATATAAAAATAACATGACAACATCAATATAGTGTTTTTTTAATTTTTATTTGGCTGTACAGTGTACATGCGTTGAGTATAAAGCACGCCTATTTTGTCATTATCAAGCTGATGTATAATATGACAATAACAATTTACAATACTTTATCTCTCTAAAAGTTCTCATTGTATGCTCCCTTGAGGATCCACGGGACAGTTAAATAGTGAGTATGTTTACATAATATTAGTAAAATTATCTCGCATAATAATTTCTAAACCTATTGCGACGAGTCAGAAGAAGATGTGCAAACCCAAGATGCTATCTAACCCGAAGCGATTTGACGGGGTCACCTGTGAGATGATCACGTCATAATAAATTTTCACAGTGGAACGAAGGTTTCTAAAGGTTCGGTCTTTAAATGACTATTGAACGCTCGACTAATATACTATAAATTGTATTTCCTAGGATATTTGTACCAACCGGTATGAAGGTTTGGGAGGTATAGATATCTTAGGATTATCATAAAATTGGTATAAAATTCCTAGGATATTCGTATCTCCGTGGAGGTATTATTATCCTAAGATATTTTTACAACCGGTATATAATTATAGGGGGGTAAAAATGTCGTAGGAAGTTTGTAGAGGGCGTACTAATAACCTAGGAAAACCATATCCCCGGGGAGGTATAATTCGCCTGTTACACCGGGACTTAACCAATTCAAACACCAATGGAACCACATATCAAATCTTATAATAATATGTGGCATCGATAGGTTTTGCGGTCTCCAAGATAACTGAGTACTTCCTATCAAACGAATTCACTGCAATCATTTTTATATAACAATATAGAAATAGATAGGTATAGATAGTAGATTGCGTTCCAACCAATTTCATGCTAGGTATAACAGCGAAAAGGGCTATACAAAATTCTATTTTATATTATTGAAAAGTCAAACTGTTTTTATTTTTTATATGCATTTTTATGAAATTCGTTATAGACAACACTTCTTACGGACTGTAAAATGTCCTATGAAAAGTGTATGTATAGTCTTCAACGACCGGCCATAGAGATTTTTTTATCCTAATACCATTTGACCAAATACAACATTATACTGACGTGTTATCGAGTTTTTTGTAAAATAACATCGAGTAAGGTGATAAAAAGAAAAGGTTTTTGTGCTCTTATAGTTTTTACGATTTAGTGTGGAGCATAGAGATTTAAAACATTTATTTTTTTTCAAGTAATTCTATTATATTTTTTTCTTAAAGTTATAAAAAAGTTATCAATCAAAGGGATTACATTTTATTGTTATGATTACAAATTTGTAATTTTATTCACGCATTACATATTATCTTAAAATTATAATTTGCTTAATTATTTTTGAAACTATTTTAATTATTCTATAATTCATATAATTATATAAAAATTACCTACAATAATATAGTATTAAAGTATATTAATATTAAGAACCCTATTCGATTATTATATCAGTGTTTAGTAAATGAAATAGTACAGACATGTTATTACATTTCTTCGTAGGTGTATCATAAAGTGTATAAAGTGGTTTTAAATTCATTTTAATATTATTAACATTTCTTGGAATATCAAATTGTATTATGTAATATTATAATATACTATGATGCAAACCACTTAATTTGCATGCATTATTTCCTATTTTAATTTTACAGAGGTCTACAATTTTTAAATAATATATTATATTAGCTTAAAACTTTTCAGCAGTTTAAAGTCATATTTTTATTATTTTAATATTAAATAAATGAAAATAATTTCATATAAGTAATTGTATTTACTTTTGTATTATAATTCAATATAAGTCTAGTGGAATTTTTATTCAGAACTCTAAATACTAACTATAAGATGCTCTAAACAATTTTTTTCTAAGGCAATTACAATTCCTTTAATTGAATTATGCTAGGACATATCCTG